ATGATTGCACCAAATTTTATTATTGATTGTACTAGTATAGATGATTGCTTTTAATAATAAAATATAATAATTGAAACAAAAAACTGTAGGTATATATAGTCAATGGTACAGGATAGGTATGGAGAGAATTGGCATAAATATTGTCACATAAAATAGGATGATGTTTCTGTGGGGTGATGGGATATTATATAACATTGAACAAAATTGGATAAAATAACACATTAACAAGGAGAACATATTAAATAACTGATAACACATTATCAGGGGCATTAACAGACATTATGAGAGAAATATACAAAGTAATAGAGAAATTAATGTTAATGATGAATGAATGACATGTAATATTACAGTTAATATGCTTGCTTTGCTCAATGTTGCAAGCAGACAATGCACTATATAATACACGTAGTAGTGGATTGTTTCGTCAACCATTACTACACGTATTGTCTTATAATCAATGCAATTACTTTGGTTAGATCCTGCAGCCTGTAAAACTCTTTTTTCCCACTCATCCACTCCACATCTGCAATAGTGCAAGTTCTTCGTCTGCTCAGTAATAACATTTGGTGCAATCATTCGGGGTCATGGTTAAAATAATTTGTGAATGTGTCACATTATTTGACCATTTTCGTGGTTTTGGTGCCATTTTACGCAAACATCCTACACTTTTATTTCAATTATTATATTTTATTATTAAAAGCAATCATCTATACTAGTACAATCAATAATAAAATTTGGTGCAATCATTCGGGGTAATGGTAAAAATAATTTGTGAATGTGTCACATTATTTGACCATTTTCGTGGTTTCGGTGCCATTTTACGCCAACATCCTACACTTTTATTTCAATTATTATATTTTATTATTAAAAGCAACCATATATACTTGTACAATCAGTAATAAAATTTGGTGCAATCATTCGGGGTCATGGTTAGAAAAAATCTTAAATGTATAACATTTAATTTAACTATTTTCGTGACTTTGTTGCCATTTTACGCCAACATCCTACACTTTTATTTCAATTATTATATTTTATTATTAAAAGCAATCATCTATACTTGTACAATCAATAATAAAATTTGGTGCAATCATTCGGGGTAATGGTAAAAATAATTTGTGAATTTGTCACATTATTTGACCATTTTCGTGGTTTTGGTGCCATTTTACGCCAACATCCTACACTTTTATTTCAATTATTATATTTTATTATTAAAAGCAACCATATATACTTGTACAATCAGTAATAAAATTTGGTGCAATGATTCGGGGTCATGGTTAGAAAAAATCTTAAATGTATAACATTTAATTTAACTATTTTCGTGACTTTGTTGCCATTTTACGCCAACATCCTACACTTTTATTTCAATTATTATATTTTATTATTAAAAGCAATCATCTATACTAGTACAATCAATAATAAAATTTGGTGCAATCATTCGGGGTAATGGTAAAAATAATTTGTGAATGTGTCACATTATTTGACCATTTTCGTGGTTTTGGTGCCATTTTACGCCAACATCCTACACTTTTATTTCAATTATTATATTTTATTATTAAAAGCAACCATATATACTTGTACAATCAGTAATAAAATTTGGTGCAATCATTCGGGGTCATGGTTAGAAAAAATCTTAAATGTATAACATTATTTAACCATTTTCGTGACTTTGTTGCCATTTTACGCAAACATCCTACACTTTTATTTCAATTATTATATTTTATTATTAAAAGCAATCATCTATACTAGTACAATCAATAATAAAATTTGGTGCAATCATTCGGGGTAATGGAAAAAATAATTTGTGAATGTGTCACATTATTTGACCATTTTCGTGGTTTCGGTGCCATTTTACGCCAACATCCTACACTTTTATTTCAATTATTATATTTTATTATTAAAAGAAACCATATATACTTGTACAATCAGTAATAAAATTTGGTGCAATCATTCGGGGTCATGGTTAGAAAAAATCTTAAATGTATAACATTTAATTTAACTATTTTCGTGACTTTGTTGCCATTTTACGCCAACATCCTACACTTTTATTTCAATTATTATATTTTATTATTAAAAGCAATCATCTATACTAGTACAATCAATAATAAAATTTGGTGCAATCATTCGGGGTAATGGTAAAAATAATTTGTGAATTTTGTCACATTATTTGACCATTTTCGTGGTTTTGGTGCCATTTTACGCCAACATCCTACACTTTTATTTCAATTATTATATTTTATTATTAAAAGCAACCATATATACTTGTACAATCAGTAATAAAATTTGGTGCAATGATTCGGGGTCATGGTTAGAAAAAATCTTAAATGTATAACATTTAATTTAACTATTTTCGTGACTTTGTTGCCATTTTACGCAAACATCCTACACTTTTATTTCAATAATTATATTTTATTATTAAAAGCAATCATCTATACTAGTACAATCAATAATAAAATTTGGTGCAATCATTCGGGGTAATGGTAAAAATAATTTGTGAATGTGTCACATTATTTGACCATTTTCGTGGTTTTGGTGCCATTTTACGCCAACATCCTACACTTTTATTTCAATTATTATATTTTATTATTAAAAGCAACCATATATACTTGTACAATCAGTAATAAAATTAGGTGCAATCATTCCGGGTCATGGTTAGAAAAAATCTTAAATGAATAACATTATTTAACCATTTTCGTGACTTTGTTGCCATTTTACGCCAACATCATACACTTTTATTTCAATTATAATATTTTATTATTAAAAGCAATCATATATACTTGTACAATCAGTAATAAAATTTTGTGCAATTATTCGGGGTCATGGTTAGAAAAAATCTTAAATGTATAACATTATTTAACCATTTTCGTGGCTTTGTTGCCATTTTACGCCAACATCCTACACTTTTATTTCAATTATAATATTTTATTATTAAAAGCAATCATATATATTTGTACAATCAGTAATAAAATTTGGTGCAATCATTCGGGGTCATTGTAAGAAAAAATCTAAAATGTATAACATTTAATTTAAATATTTTCGTGACTTTGTTGCCATTTTACGCCAACATCCTACACTTTTATTTCAATTATTATATTTTATTATTAAAAGCAATCATCTATACTAGTACAATCAATAATAAAATTTGGTGCAATCATTCGGGGTAATGGTAAAAATAATTTGTGAATGTGTCACATTATTTGACCATTTTCGTGGTTTCGGTGCCATTTTACGCCAACATCCTACACTTTTATTTTAATTATTATATTTTATTATTAAATGAAACCATATATACTTGTACAATCAGTAATAAAATTTGGTGCAATCATTCGGGGTCATGGTTAGAAAAAATCTTAAATGTATAACATTTAATTTAACTATTTTCGTGACTTTGTTGCCATTTTACGCCAACATCCTACACTTTTATTTCAATTATTATATTTTATTATTAAAAGCAATCATCTATACTTGTACAATCAATAATAAAATTTGGTGCAATCATTCGGGGTAATGGTAAAAATAATTTGTGAATTTGTCACATTATTTGACCATTTTCGTGGTTTTGGTGCCATTTTACGCCAACATCCTACACTTTTATTTCAATTATTATATTTTATTATTAAAAGCAACCATATATACTTGTACAATCAGTAATAAAATTTGGTGCAATGATTCGGGGTCATGGTTAGAAAAAATCTTAAATGTATAACATTTAATTTAACTATTTTCGTGACTTTGTTGCCATTTTACGCCAACATCCTACACTTTTATTTCAATTATTATATTTTATTATTAAAAGCAATCATCTATACTAGTACAATCAATAATAAAATTTGGTGCAATCATTCGGGGTAATGGTAAAAATAATTTGTGAATGTGTCACATTATTTGACTATTTTCGTGGTTTTGGTGCCATTTTACGCCAACATCCTACACTTTTATTTCAATTATTATATTTTATTATTAAAAGCAACCATATATACTTGTACAATCAGTAATAAAATTTGGTGCAATCATTCGGGGTCATGGTTAGAAAAAATCTTAAATGTATAACATTATTTAACCATTTTCGTGACTTTGTTGCCATTTTACGCCAACATCCTACACTTTTATTTCAATTATTATATTTTATTATTAAAAGCAACCATATATACTTGTACAATCAGTAATAAAATATGGTGCAATCAATCAAGGTCATGGTACAAAGAATTTGTGAATTTGTCACATTATTTGACCGTTTTCGTGGTTTTCGACGCCATTTTCGCCAACATCCTGCACTTTAATTTCAATTATCATATTTTTTTATTAAAATTAATCATCTATACTAGTATAATCAGTAATAAAATTTGGTGCAATCAATCGGGGTCATGATAAGAAAAATAGTAATCTTGTCAAATTATTTTACCATTTTTCTGGTTTCAGCGCCCTTTTCGCTAAGGTCCTACTCTTTTTTTCAATTTTCATACCTTATTAAGAGCAATCATGTTTCTTTATATAATCAATAATAAAATTTGGTTCAGTTTAAATAGGTCCAAGGTAAATACATATTTCTTATTGATCACATTATTGCGTAGTTTTTACCACCAGTCAAGATTACTTATATTTATGTTTTTATATTATTTTATTAATGCATTTTAATAATTACAAAGTAATTCTTATAATTAAATAGGTTATAACCCTTAAAGCTTAGAGTTTTAGAAAATATAAAGTACGGGAATCGGAGGTCTACTTTTGTGCAAAGCACTGACTACTTCGTAGGGGTAAACTCAAATGTCTGGTGGAGGGGGAAACTTTGGAGGGATGACAGCTGGTGATAGCTATTTTCACGGCCGTACAAATAACCACAACCGATCAAGGCTCGGTCCCCCGGTACTGACATTTTTTAAATATTGAAGTATTGAAGATACATCAGCTGTTAAGTTTTGTTTTAGTTTGTTTGTTTACCATGTCTTTGTCTTAAGTTAACCTTTTGTTTGATTCTTCCATAGATTTCTATATTACATGAAGAGAAGTGACAGTACAGTTTTCTTATAATGTGAGATAGTGTTCAAACCTTTGAATTCTGCTTCAATTTTACTTTAGCTGAGTAACTTATTAATTAATTTTATAAACACAGCAATTGATGTTGCAACAAATATGTTATTGTTGTGTTTATAATTAAGTGACAACAAAAACCATATTTTGATGGAGCATTGTTCCAAGTGCGGGAAAAAATACACCTGTAGAGTATTTTTCCTAATTCCTTGTAACATGGACATTGATCAAATTTAATTTACATCAAGAACAAGCGCTTAATCATCCATCCAGCAGTTTAATTACATTGGACAAGGCGGTGAAGAAACACCATATCATAGTGATGGGAACTATCCGATAGAAACAAACGATTCATCTGGTTGTTGCGCGCCAACCGATTCATCCGATGGTTACTTTAATATTCATCCGGATGAACTATCCATTTTATCACTTCCGGACACTTGCGAATCAGCCGAATCAACTAGGTATCTCATCTGTCTGTAAACCGTGTTTCAAGTTTTCATTCAATTGTAAAACTATCCGTGTCACATTTTCATTTTGTTTAACTACGAATTATGTAGTTATTTGACAACTGAAACTGTTCTTTATTAAATGGCGAAATGAACTTTTTTTGGTAGGCCTACCTATATGAGTCAACTTTTTTACCTTATTTATCCACAAAGGAGTATTAAATGGATTATTTATTCATCCGTTCTCTGGTGTTCATGCTCAGCACAACAGTAGCTTAAATGCACTCGCGCAGATATGATTAATTACACAGTTTAAATTATGAAGACTTTATTAATTTGTACAAACAGCATTGATACATTTTTTACGTAAAATTATTACGTGAGTACCAATTAATATCCAATACCGAGTGGTCATAATTTAAGACACATGAAAAGATTAAATAATTGACTCATCCTTAAATAGTGAATAACAAACTTTAAGAAAACATGAATTATTTATTTTAACATTTCAACGAATGAAAAAAAAAATATATCTATATATATAAAATCCAATGTATGTTTGTTTGTATGTATGTTTGTTTGTTTGTTTGTTTGTCCTTTAAGGACTCCGAAACCTTTTGACAGATTGTAATGAAACTTTCAGGCATTGTTAAGCATTATTCAAGGACGGTTTGTGTGAAGTTTGGTGCAAATCCGTCAAAAGGGCTCCGCCCCAGTGGCTCTGGAGTTTCCCATGTTAACCTTATGAGTACTCATATTTAAATGAAATTAAAGAATCTTATCAGCTGGTTCAACTAAACAATTTGATTCTGTGATGTTCAATAGCATTAAAAAGTTAGGCTAATAGGTTTACCAACAGGGTATAGCACTATTATTTTTTTTTTTAATTTATGACAACAGTTAATTTGCAACCAAAAGGTGAGTGAGCGTAGTGAACGTACTTCAACTTGGAGGAGAGTTAGCGTAGCGAACGAGCTAACCTGAAGGCAAGTGAGCGCAGCGAACAAGCTCCAACCTAAAGGTGAGTGAGCGTAGCGAACGAACTTCAACCAGGACGTGATTGAGCCATGCAAACTCGAGCTCATCTTGAAAATGAACGAGCATTTGACATAAAACCACATTAGGACAGGACGACGTCTGTCGGGCCAGCTAGTTTATTATAAAAATGAAATAATGTAGAAGAGTAATTTTCTAACAGTACAAGTTAGTTCTTTAATCATGCAAAACATATATTTATCTATTTATTCACGCACAGGTAAATTCTCCGAAACATGCCGCTGGATAGGAACGCCAAATGCCACAATACCTACCAAAACTATCTATCTGATCAGGTGCGCAAACTGATGGTTTATCCATTCATTCTTTAGTCGGATAGTTTTATCTGTCTCCGGAAGCAGCACGGACGCTCCCCACCCCACTACACTATAAACCATCAGATGAATCATCCATCTGAAGACTATCGGACTATCGTTTGTCCCATCACTAGTTCTCTCTTCGTAACGTTGTAAACACTCACCTCGTCGTGCATACAGTCAGAAACCGTGTAATGTGAAAGAAACATAGAATTGGTATAAAATCCTAATATTTTAACCGGTTGGCAAAAGCCGTATAGGTAGTGTGAAAGGAGGGTTAACCAAAAATACAATATGGTAATCTTTATTCATAAAATTTAAGTAGTTACTCTTTGGTTCATGAAATAGTGTAAGATAGGCTACTTGAATGTTTTTTGCTACTTAATTTAAAAAAAGAAACATTGTCAATCTATGCTAAACTGTATGATCCATTTAATAATTGAGCGGAGCGAGCGAAGCTCTTATACATCGACTCTTATGCATTTCGTAATACGCAAACTCCTCCAAGACGGCTGAATCAATCGTTTTCAAATTTTGCATAGTGATAAAGACCATATCGGTGAGTGCCAACATCTATATGGCGTTACAAAAGTCTCTCAGGAATCCGCCCCACTGCGTCTCAAAGTTTCAATGTAATCCTTATGGAAGCAGTATTTGACACATAAACAAAAACATATGATCAGCTATTGACTTTTGAATGCAGTAGATAAAGAAATAGCTGATAGCATTAATCCACAGATATTAGAACAGAAACGGTATGGATAATAAATTATAATCAAATGACGACACTAGCTTCAGGTTTGTGACGTAGGAAGTGGTGAAGGAAGTAGTAAATGCCTGGAGTGTGGAAACTGTTTATGACGATTAAATTGAGGTATCTGCATTCCTAAAATTCTGTGGGAAGGGAGGAAAACGGGTCCGTGACGTAGGAAGTGGTGAAGGAAGTAGTAAATGCGAGCTGTTCAGGGTATGGGACATGTTCATGACCATTAGATTAAGGTATTTGCAATCCTAAAATGCTATGGGAAGGGAGGAAAACAGGTCCGTGACGTAGGAAGTGGTGAAGGAAGTAGTAAAGGCGAGTTGTCCGGAGTGTGGGATCTGTTTATATGACCAATTGATTAAGGTATTTTCAATCCAATAATGCTAAGGGAAGGGAGGAAAACAGGTCCGTGACGTAGGAGGTGATGGGGGAAATAGTAAAGGCGGGTTTTTCGGAGTTAGGGAACTGTTTATGATGATTAGTTTAAGGTATCTGCAATCCTAAAATGCTATGGAAAGGGAGGGAAACAGGTCCGTGACGTAGGAAGTGGCTTAGGAAGTAAAGTATGAGCAGTGTGAGAACCGTCTGTGGTAGTTAGATTAATGTACCTTCAATCCTAAAATGCTATGAGAAGGGAAGGAAACAGGCCCCACGACGTGGGAAGTGGTGAAGGAAGTAGTAAAGGCTGGCAGTGCAGAGTGGGGGAACCGTTTGGGCAGTTAGATAAATGTATCTAATACTTAAATGCTATGAGAAGGGAAGGAAACGGTGAAGGAAGTAGTAAGGCTTGCAGTGCAGAGTGTGGGAACTGTCTTTGGCAATTACATTAATGTGCAATGCTAAAATGCTATGGGAAGAGACTGTAGACTGTAGGTTAAAATGATTAAAAAGCACGAATAGATACATATTTTGATACATGCAATCGTTTACAATAGAAAGTTACAACTGAGTTCACAACAGCTGATTTTTACTCCATAGAGGCCTAAAACTATGTTTACTCCCTAAAGAGTAAAAATGCCACTTTAGACCCGCAACGCATGCATTAAAAACAACTGTTTTTACTGCAGTATGACAAAAACAATATAATATGAACCCTTGATGACTCCGCTCAATTTTGTGGATGCCTCTGCAAACACCACCTAGTAATTAATCCATTTATTAATTAATAGGCCCACAATTATATTAATTTGTTGGACTATAAAAACAAAATAAAAATGACTTTCTATAAAAATGATTACAGAAAAATCCTCTAAGATGCATGTTTTTGTTTTTGTCTAGTATGTAACTATATATCTGAAATTCATGTTATATTTTATAAAATGTTTTGTTTCTGAAGGTGTGGAAATACTTGCTGGTTTTCAAGAGGTACACTCTCTACCATCCAGATTTTCCAAAGACATTATTTTATTCTCCCCTTGTTCGCCTGAAGAAAACCAGTTGTTTGCTGCTGCAATTGAAACTAAGCCTGAAGAGACCCTGCAAGATACTGAACTTGTGCTCTATAAGTACCAAGTATGTTGTTAAATATTAGAATCTATTATACCCTTCTATAAAGCCCCGTTCCCACCAACCGAACATGTCCACTAAACACTGTTCGCGAACTTAAAAAACGGACGAACATTCCACAATTAATCGGTCGAACATTTTAAGTAGCTCACGGACTGTTTGCTTAAAGAGATCTGGTCATTTTGATTAGTTGGCGATCATGTGTAGTGATGAGTACATCTACACAGCATCATCGTTATTTAGCGTGCATAGCAGCTGCTCATTTGCTCTTGTGCTTTTGTCGACCACCTCGTTGGTGGCAGAGACAACTGTTTGGAGGAAGAAATACGTGCAGTGACCATTTTCGTGCAGAACTGACAGCTAGTTGCTTATCCACGAATTTTACAAGGGTGTGTAATGAGAATTTTGAATTACATATCACTAATTGGGCCAACTATTTAGAAACAAGATACTTGGTTAACTGATTTGACAATCAATACAAAATTAATACAAAATACTAGTCTTTCAAAAAACACAAACAAATGCCAAACTTCACTAGGAACAATGAAAACTATACTAGCTGCAGTGCCAGATTTAAGGTACTTGCGGCCCTAGGCCAAATTAATTGAGTGGCTCTCAACCCTGTGGTGGAATTCCCTTTAATAGCGGTGAAATCATAAGAATCTCCCAGAGTCATCATGATCATCATCACAAGCGAACATGAATAATATCGTGAACATCTCCAGCGGGCCACAATCACAGGACATCATCATCGACACTTGCAGCCGCGACAAAATCGTGAACTTCACCCACGAGCCGCAATCATGGGGACATCATCATCGACACCCATGACGGCAAAGAAATCATAAACATCCCTTTGGGCCACAATCACGGGGACATAACCGTTGACACTTGTGACTACGGCCAAATCAGGGATATCTCCCACAGGCCACAATTGCGGGACATTATCATCGTCATTCACGATCGCGGAGAAATCCCTAACACTTACCCGAAATCAAGGGGATATTGTCACCGACACCTGCAGCCGCGGCAAAATCATAAACATTTTCCGCGGGCCACAATCACGGGGATATCATCATTGACACCTTCGGCCGTGGTAAAATCATGAACATCTTCCGTGGGCCGCAATCACGGGGACATCATTATCGATTCCCGCAGCTGCGGAAAATCATAAACATGTCCCTCCGGCCGAAATCACGGGGTCGCAGCAAACTAATGGTCAAAAAATTAAAATTTGTTTGAAAAAATATTTTTGTTATTCCTCTGCGGCCCCCTTTTGTTTGCAAATCCGGCACTGACTAGCTGCACGAGGAGAAACGTGATTTCAACTGAAATGTTCGGTCTAGGAGCGAACTTTTACAGCCAACATTCGGTTCCCATCACGACAGTCAGAATGTTCGAAAAGGCGTCTCCACCAAACAATGTTTGGCTGAAATAGGTGGAGACGCGGCTTAAGTATAATCATAGATTAAGTATCATATTTCTCCTTTACTATTCCTAGTCAATGGTACAGTAAAAAAAAGTGATTACACCAAAGTAGCCATATAGAATTAAAATACCCCCGCCACAGCAAACCTACCGACTAAGCGAATTTCTATTTGTCTTAATTGATTTTCAAATTACTGATTAAATAACATAAATAACTTCTGGGTCCAGAATCCACCCGCTTGGGATCTATTCTCTGTGTACTTAGTAGTAGCTCTACAGTGTGGAGATGTTTTAACCATGGCTAATGTCTATGTTTCCTCAGGGAGATGACTGGGCAGAGTCTCACAGAGTGAAGGCAGCTGGAGGACAGAACATTGCTGTGGAACACATTCAGGACTCTGTGTACCTCGTGGTGGCTCAGAAATTGGCCGACCCAGATTTGGGCTCTACAGTCTGGAGGCTAGTGCCAGGCTCAGACAAGCTGCAGTTCACACACATGCTCAACACTCGTCTCGCTTCCCACGCCATCATGTGGTAGGTACAGTCATTTAGGGAAGTATTGCAACATGCTGATTGAACAGCAAACCGAAGGTAGTTGAGGTTATAGCACATTTGACTGATTGGATTTATTTATTTGGCCATGGCACAAAGAGTGTGTATAATAAAATTGAATTAGGGATACAGAAGAGATATCCTATATAGGTAGTATATATGTAGACTACACAAGGGTAGTTTTTTTTTAAAGAGCCGGTTTTTTTATAAAACCGTAGTTCACTTGTATGCCGCAACGAGGCTCATCACTACTTACTGGCATCACTTGTGAATAGAATGTCATAAATTGCAGCTCTGTAGCTGTCATGTACGCTTCGCTGTTTGTTTTTTAATTTGTTCAATCTCCCACCACGTAGGACCACCGAGGTAAGGTCAGTAATACAATTTTTGATTACGATTACAAGATATGCTGTAGTTAACATTAAATGGTTGTATTATTTTCACTTTGGTAAAAAGTTGGTGTTTGACAGAAATAATTAATTTACATAAGGTTTTTTTTACTGGTCAGAACCTTAACAAGGGGATGTAATGGGGTGTCTCATTCTATCAGTAATTAAAGGTATACACAAAAATAGTGTTAAATGAATATCAGATGATAGTTTCATAACTGACTAAGGACAGCTGGGGTCCATTCTCATACAATTCAAAAAGCTTCAGATTTTTCTCAGGAATGAACTGGAAACCTTGTAAATAATAGGCAAGTACCGAGCACCATATACCCAATCAGACAACTATCAGCTAAGCTCTGTTGATACGAGTTAATAATAATGTTCTCTTTGAGAGTTAAAGCCTTGGTCACAGATGGTAATACAGTACCAGTAACGCAAGCAGGAAATAATGTACCGTTTGGGCTAGAAAGGTAATGTTTTATGACAGACATGTTAAGATTGATCGATCAATCTTAACATGTCTGTCGTAAAACATTACCTTTAGTAAAGCATTATTGTCCAGACTTATTTGATATGAGGTAGGCTACAGTAGAACCCCTCATATACAACTTCAGCATAATCGACTCCTCGGTATATCTGACCAAGTGTCCAACCGTCTACCGGTACTTGTTACCTGATAGGCAATAGCACCGAGCGTGTTTGGTTAAGCGAAAGGATCACGGGTGTTGCGGTTATCGCGGGAAAAAATTACCAGTGTCTCCGAGACCGAAGGGGAATCTCCCAATATAGTTCCGACCATGCCCCGGTCCCGTCATGATCGGATATGAGCGGTTCTACTGTATGTAGGATAATAGTATTTTGATAAAGCGTAGAATATCTTTGAACTTCCTACCTATATTGTCTGTTAACTACTTTTGCTGTTCTACTTCAATTCAAATACAATTATTGTTTTGCATCCAGAGAATTCAACAAGTTTTATTTGAGATTACAATAAAATAGTTTTTTACAGGACAGATGCATACACCTATGCTGCTGTGACAATTTCTGAAAATCCAGCTGGATCTCCAAAACCATATTCCACCCTGAGTCCTGTCTACCGGTGGCTTGGGAGCTCTTTTGACATGATTGACACTTTGCCTACTTACAATCCTCGAGCTATTGTACAGTTCAACATTCGGAGTTCTGTATTTATTGCCGTTGCTAATTACCAAAATGATTATGGTAAGTGTATAGCAATAACTTTTTATTTTGTAATTTTAAAACTGAACACTGCAAATAACAGGAAAATGTTAATTGAGAACTTGACTTGAACATTGGATAATTATACAAAGCAGGGCCAAACATACAAAGCAGAGCCATGGAACTAACTTTACTAAATCACAGTTTTATCACAAAAGGGATACTAGAACAAATACTTTAATGGTTCTTAAATTAGTTACAATCAAGAGCAATCTGGTCTAGTGATAGATCAGGGGGCTTTAGAGCCCGAGATTCCAAGTTAAAATCCCGCCAATCACCAATGGATTTTATCCATGTGATAATTGCACGCAATTCTTGATGACAAGCTTGAAGTTAGTAATGTGTGAAACAGTTCTGGGCTTGAACATAGCGTCCTAAAATATAAAGGTGGGACCAACAAAATGTAGGCCTAATGTCAACATAGGTATTTTAGTTCAGGACTATGCAATCACCCTTTTTTTCAATAGGAAACAAAGAAGAAGGGGCTCCAAACTGCTCAACACCATGACACCACCGGTTGCTCACGGTTAATAACGGCCTTAGTGGCAATCCTTGTAGAAAGCTTTATTATTTAACTGTTAAAGGACAAACGTATTCACTTTAAAGACTTATCCTAAAACAATCCTATAAATTTATATTTGAAAAAAATAAAAAAATATCTCTTGTAGCCTACATAGAATAAGATTACACTTAGTTAAACGTATGTACACATGTTCACTGCTATTTTTATTTCAGTGAATTTTAAACCATACATTTCTACAACAGGAAAATTGTAACCAACATACCCTTTCAACTTTTCATCTGCAGGTGAGACAATGATTGACTCGGAGATTTTTCGATATGACTTAATGTCAGGCAAGTTCCATGTTTATCAGAAGCTTCCCACGGAGGCAGCAATCGACATCAAGTCATTCTGTTATCAGAGCAATCAGATATCTGAGAACTTCCTTATCTACGCAAGTGCATTCCACACTGGTAATATGCAAACCTTGAATTATAGACATAAAACGATAAAACACTAACTAGAGTTTTACAAAAAACAGACTATTGGCTGCAAACAACAGAACATGCAGTATTTGTAAGTAAAGTACAGTACAAACAAATTAGACTATTAGGATGAAGAGTTACTTTTTTGCACCTATTGGTTTGGTGAATTAACATTGTAATTGCTGTTTATTTTCACTTTAATACTCTGCAAATTGAGTTGGGAGATAATTTATTTATACTAAAACGATCATTTTAAGTTGAATGCAGAATAAATACCCACTCATTAGCAGTAGAGTAGTGTAAATAAGTGGTCATTGTGTTTGGCAAATTGATTCACTTCTTATCATTAAATTAAATGTTTTCTTAAACTTATTAGTTTAGGTGTCAAAGTATCCCTTGTAAAACATCCTCCCCTGATTGTTTTGTTTTATCCTGATCTATTGTGAAGATGAGAAGGGAGTCAGGGACTACAACTCACCATCAGTGGTCTACAAGTTGTCTGATGAGGAGATATTTGTACCTTTCCAAGCCTTGCAGGTCTCTAAGGTTACCAGCTGGCTGCCAGTGGAACATGTCAAGGTCAGTACAGGGGTTAAAAAACAACATATACAACTTAACGTAAAAAAATGAACATAATTTATATCGGTTTTGGCCTATGATATTGGTGGTTGTCTTTTTTTTGTTAATGACCACTGTCATCAACTATGCCCACAAACCATTTTATTAAATTTCTTCATTATAAGCCAAACGTTGATGTGTGTCATTTAGGCAATATGAAACCGTTTATCCATTAGCCATGAAAATTTGTGAAGTTGTTCATACTATTACTAAGCTATTAATATTTTACTAAAAACACACTTAGTTACCCTTACTGTAGCAGCAAACATAAGTATTTGTTAAACCTATCGTTATTGAGGTATTAGATCTTACATTTTTAAGGAATGTTTCATTGAAAATATAATCAGACAAATGTAAATTCATTAGTGTGCACGTTTGCTGCAGCGAGGTATTATACTGGGTATTGATGTTAAAAGTTTACTTTTTTTGTATCACAAAACTGTTCAAATAAACCATCAATAAATCAATTGGGAATTAGATTAGTCTGCAAATATATTATGTAATAGAGATTTTTTATATCAGTATTTTTAAAAGGAGTGGACATAGATAAGGAAAGTAATATTAATGTCACAGTCATTAAAACAGTGCACAACCTAGGTGAGTTTAAGATCATAGGTACCAGCATATCCCATAAAATTTAGTACAACAGTCAACAATATTGGGAAATGTAGTGTAAAGAAAAGACAATTGATACAATATTGTGTTTCATGCTGGACATGTCTGAGACATACAGTATAGAGATTTTGCTACAATGCAAATTTTATGGACAATGCCACCTGTTTAATAGCTACACTATTTACTCTATATGTGACGATAAAGAGATATCTATTTATTAGCGAATTTCCCATATAGGGAATAAGCTATTATTGTAGGTCTCTTGGTAAGACTTGGACCCGGGACCGATTTACTTTTTCGTTTTGAGGTCCCCAGAGGTCAAAATCACTATCCGTTCAAATTCATATATGAACCCCCCATAAACCCCCTGTTCCCGTGGTCCGATCATGCTGGTTCGCGAACTCGTTCGAATAAATGTAGGTTTACACGTTTATACCAAATTTAATCAAAATCGGATAATTTTTGTTTGAGTTATCGTGCTAATGGACACATATACATATGAATTTGAACGGATGGTGATTTTGACATCTGGGGACCTCAATAAGAAGTCAACCTTGATGAAAAGTCTTATTTAATAATCCCCATGAGAGTCTTGTTATCGAGGTGCTGTGTATATATATAATTTCAACCCCACTATAATTTTGACCCATTACAGTTGTGATGTTTATTTCAGGATGGTATAGAGAGTTTGACCCTTGTAGGAGCTAGTGAGGAAGGTATCATCAGTTTCCAGTACGATGGTTGGCGCTTTGTACCCACAGGTCTCCACATGGACACCACCACCTTCAGCCCTGGACCCAAAGCACTCAACGTCTTCTACTACAATGACAAACCATTCATCAGTAAGTGTTTAGATAAAGCTCATCTACTGCTTGGATGTGATAATAGTCCATAACTGATTTCCCGAATAATTTGCTGCTGAGATTTTATTTATATTTTAGCTATTCGTTCATACATTAATTCCAAAACGGATCAGTTTAATTCAGATAATGTATTATTTAGATCCTATGTCTTTGAGTTTTGTAAACAATTCTGAAAATGATTGTTGTTTATTGGCAAATCCAAGGGAAGAAGCAAAGCAAGGAACATTACCTTCTGCCATTCATTTCCTTGTTATACATCCCTGGTGTTGACTGTCTATATCACTTTTTGTGTTGTCATAAAAATATCTAAAACTCAAGTGAAATAAACAAATCTGTATATTAGAATTGTGTTTTATTTTATTTATTCTTTTTTTTTCAAGACAGAACTTTTAAAGAGGATTGAAAAGTAATTTAATCACAAAGATTTTTAACTGTCAAAGATTTTAGTCAGCAAGGTAACGTACATATTTCAGAAGTGGCCAAAACATAATTAGTTTAAGTAACTAGTGAGGTTTAAGATTTGTAATACATTTTGGTTTTCAAGGTGTGGCAAACAGGTACAGCAGTGGGTACGAGATGAATGTGTTCAGTCCATTTTTTGAACACCATCCTGGCGTTGAGAATTTGCAGAGGACAATTTCCGATTGGGTGCTAGACATGACCAATGATATGATTGAGGGAGAAGCAAAGATAAATGGCCTTACCAGAATTGCCCAAGAAGCACCGTCAGTTGGTGATTCTGTTATTAAACTTGGTTCTCATGCTGTGTTCAGAAATGCTGAGATTCACAGACTTGAAACAATCATGGTGAGAGTAATTTTCTTTATTTTATATTAAGAATAGCTGATAAGAATAAATAGTTTTACTCATATATTTAATTTCAATATCTTTATTCAATTGCACACTCTACATTGAAAGTCATTATTCTTAACGTAGTACAGTAAATACAGCTGTGAAGCCGTGTTCACACCAGTAGAGCAGGCAGGTTACTTGTCTCTAATGTATTTCACCTGAGGCAAGTAACCTGTCTGCCAACTGGCCTCGTGTAAACCCACGTTTACAGGCTAAAACCTTGTTCAACATTAAAATGTATACTGTACATAAGAAACAAATAAATAAAATTAAGCTAATTTAGGAAACGCCTTTAATGGAGTAAGGAGCCATTTCTATATAATAATTTTGTAATTATTTCTTAAATTTAATGCTGCAAAGGGTTTTTAAATCATTTGTAAGCAAACGTAAGATTTTTCTCCTGTAACAGGTGGGCTTTTTATTTGAAAGGAAAAGGTGGCTGCGACTATTTTCTCTTTGGGCTTTTCCTCTAGTATTGTAGCATAATTGTGCGTTATCCAGTAAACTTTCCTTAGCATTAAGAGCCCTTTCAAGAATGTATTGGCCAAAGACTGTTATTAATTTAGAGTTTTTTTAATGAATTTGAACTTTTAACAATTTTCCATAGAGCGAAAATAGGGAATAAGCTATTACCGTAAGTATCATGGTAAGACCTGGACCCGGGACCGATTTATTTTTTTTGTTTTGAAGTCCCCAGAGGCAAAAAACACCATCTTTCAAATTTATATATATATGTATATATAAATATATATATATATATATATAATACATATAATATATATATATGTATATATATATTTATATACGAGGGCTAACCAGAAAGTAGATTACGCTTTTGTCTGTATCCGCTAGGGGTGGGTCTAGCACGACCATCTTGGTGTTAGTTCGTTATGCAGCTCAGTCAGCATCCATCTGTGCTAGTAAGAGGTTTCTGCTGTACTATGTTGGTTTACTGTGACAGTTTAAAATGTATGTGTTAATTGAAAATGCCGCGAACTGTGAAGTGCGTGCAACTTTTCGGTTATGATCTTGTGCAACAAACTTTGCGAAATTTGTGGAAAACCCATAAAAAGTTCTGTTATTGTGAACTTTTGAGTTTTTTTATGGACATCGGCATTGACTTATTCGACAAGTTTGGCAGTCACAATGCTGGGTCTTCCACTTCGCTCTTCGTTGTGAACGTTAGTTCGGCCATTTCTTAATTTGATGACCCACTGGTGTACTCGACCTTCAGTAATAATGTTTTCCCCATAAACTTCACAAAAGTTGCCGATAGATTTCTAAAAACCTTATAACTGCACGCAATTGACAGTTTGTGGCATTTTCAATTAACACAGGCATTTTAAACTAACACAGTAACTCAACGGATTACAGTAGAAACCTCTTACTAGCACGGCTAGTTTCTAAGTTTCTGCATTCTCCAGGGAATTACTAAAAGTGAAGAAAACTGAACAGCTGTCTTGCACCAGTGGAGAATTTAATTTAGTGGAGAATTGTGGCTGAATGCCAATTCTGGGGTACGAAGGCACCCTCTTGAAGTATTGCAAACTGTGTTTCTGAGAAGGTTTCCATTGCCTGGACTGATAGGTTTTTAGTGGGTGAGAGTCCCACACACCAGGGTAAAAAAACATTTTTAGACCCTGAGAGTATAAAGCAATTTTTTATTTGAGTTCTAGTTATGTATTACCCTTTGCACATTTTGCCAGCTTGTTTGGCATCTACAGGGGATATACTTATGCTATTACACTAACACTAACACTATTGTCAATATTTACAATTATCACACACGTCATTATCACTAATTTTTTGTGGTCAAGTTACGCTATGACGAGACACTGTGGAGTCATGCTGGCTGAATTCTTCCTTTGAATTATTCCTCCATTCGATGGAGCTTCAGAAAACAAAAACTCCAATTACATTCAATTTCAATGGCTATTTATAGATCATTATACCGATGTTATTATTTTTTATAATAATAAATTATTGCAATTTGACAGACCAAAGTAGGAGACTCCAGTACAGATGATGAGGTCTACAGCCAACTATACACACTAAAAAGTCAACTTGATAGGTTGAAAAGTACTTTGGAAGGATTACCGGTTAGAATTGATCAAACAAGCTATCATACAAACACGGTATATGAAGGTATGTATACGTATTCATCGTTGGATTGGTATGTGTTTATTCATCATTGTAAATCTTTATATAACAAAATAGAGGTTCCACAGCACATTTATGGGTTTTGACAGATGTCTACCAAGTCAAACTAACACATTTCATAACTTTACATGCTCTCTATAATTAAAGATTGTTTAATACTAAACAGCATGCAAACTGAGTACTGCCTCTAAATAAATATCTTAATCATTAATCCTTTCCACTCATATGTTGTGGTGGCCTCGATATCAGTCTCTGAAGGTTCCACACATTAGTTAGTCATTAGTAAGATTTGGATTCAGGTTCTTCAGGACAGAAGTCTTGCAAGCTAACCACAGGACCAGCAACACTTTCTCAGTATAAACGGGGGCAATGTATTGGATAATGATAATAGCGATGCAGATTACCATCCCAACCCACACTATTACTTCCGTAATTCCAAAGCAAGAATTGTAAATCAAGGTTTTGATAGTGATATCTCTAAGTAAGTGAATTCCTTTTCTTTTAGGTAATTAATTAATTGTTATTATTTTTGTTTGACCTTTTGTTCATTATGGATGACTATGATGGTAAATATACTGTAAATATACTGTAATCATATTAATGTTAATCTAGTACATCTAGGTTGTCATACTTGTGTTGATTATACCACAGTTTTTTAGTGTTACAATTTAAAACCACAAGGCACAAACAATACTTATTATTTTTTTACAGTTTTATTTTCAGTACCTGGGGACCGAGCTTTGCTCAGGTAAAATCATTAGTTTAATATTAAAGCAGTCTTAGTATTGCAGATACATTAATCCATTCCCAAACTCCACACTGCTCGCCTTTACTACTTTGTTCACCACTTCCTACGTCGTGGGTCTGTTTCCTTCCCTTCCCATAGCATTTTAAGATTGCAGATACCTTAATCCAATCGTCATAAACTGTTCCCACACTCCGGACTGCTCTCCTGTACTACTTCCTTCACCACTTCCTACGTCTCAGACCTGTTTCCCTCCCTTTCCATCACATTTTAGGATTGCAGATACCTTAATCCAATCGTCATAAACAGTTCCCGAACTCCGGACTGCTCGCCTTTACTACTTCCTTCACCACTTCCTACGTCGCGGACCTTTTTCCCTCCCTTCTCATAGCATTTTAAGATTGCAGAAACCTTAATTTAATCGTCATAAACAGATCCCACACTCCAGACTACTCGCTTTGACTACTTCCTTCACCACTTCCTACGTCGCGGCCCTGTTTACCTCCCTCCCCATATCATTTTAAGATTGCAGATACCTTAATCTAATCTTCAAAAGCAGTTCCCACACTCCGGACTACTTGCCTGGACTACTTCCTTCACCACTTCTATGTCGCGAACTTGTTTCCCCCCTCCCCATAGCATTTTAAGATTGCAAATATCTCAAATTAATCGTCATAAACAGTTCACACACTCCGGACTACTCGCATTTACTAAACCCTTCACCACTTCCTACGTCGCGGACCTGTTTCCCTCCCATTCCATAGAATTTAAGATTGCAGATACCTTAATCTTATCTTCAAAAACAGTGCCCACACTCCGGACTACTCACCTTCACAACTTCCTTCGCCACTTCCTATGTCGCGGACCTGTTTCCCTCCCTTCCCATATCATTTTAAGATTGCAGATACCTTAATCTAATTGTCATAAACAGTTCCCACACTCCGGACTACTCGCCTTGACTACTTCCTTCACCACTTCCTACGTCACGGACCTGTTTCCCTCCCTTTACATTGCATTTTAAAATTTCAGATACCGTAATCTAATCGTCATAAACAGATCCCACACTCCACACTGCTACCCTTGACTACTATGTATCGAGTTCAGTTTAATATTTGCTTAATAGTAACAACTGATGTTTTTCCTTTTGTACTGTATTTTGTTTTGCTAGTATACTGTGGATAGAGAACTTCTGCGCATGCGCAAGCTGAGGTGCCCGTGGGTACAGAACGTCACGTTATGTCTTAAAATGTAAACAAAATGACAACAATGGCGGAATGTTTTCTCATAAGGCCCATGTTAAATTTTCAAAAGTTTGTACTCATATTATGGCGAAAATAGATTTTTCCTGGCTATACCACTGGTCTAGAACTTATTTTTGACACAGAACTTAGTTATTCCGTAAATATAAACGTTTTTGTTAGAGCCGATTCCCAGATCGAGTTGACAAGTATTCAGACTTTACTCGTATTATATATAGGATAGTTTTTATCCTTATGTGGTTGATTCTATAATCAAGAACATCCAAAATGCACAAGTTCTGTGTTCTAGACACATTTGAAGAGTCAGCTGAGATAACTTGTACACATTCCTGCCATGCACACGATCTGGAGGTTATCAATGTTAACAGTGAAAACTTGTCAGAGTTCCTGGCAAATACTGTCAATATAAAGGAAGATGTGGAGTTCTCAGGAGATGTATCCTTCAAAGAGTTGGCTTTGATTGAACCGTTGAAAACAAAGACGGTTAATGGTCATAGTGCAGAAACATTGATTGACTGGTCGAAAGAGGTCAATCTAGACCATAAACTTAAGGTATGTATGTATGATAAGTTAGGTATGGTTGTTGTTTGGGTGTGACTGCTTGGCGAAAAATGTATGAGTTATATTGTTCAAGTATTGTAAATCTTGGGGCTACTTCAAACCACAGCCTTTTATAGTTCAGTACAGTAAAATTTTTGTTTTACGACACTTCCAGCCTACTCACACAACATTGCCAAACATTTGTCCTCTTTACAATATTTGAACCCTCCCATTCAGTATGTGTGTTTTTGACAATGCAGCATAATAATGCGCCCCTGAATGATGATGAGTAATTTCTCATAGCTCTAACAACAGCAAGATCACAACAACACAAGCTCTAACTTACAAGTGACAAAATAATTAGCGCATGTAATGTGTTTTTTTTCTTTCTTTTTTTTTATTTGCAACTTTACATAATTTACATAATCTTGGAACATCCTTGCATGAGGTATTACATAAAAATGTTATAAAAATATTCATAACTTATATATATTTATATTTTATATTTACAGTATGTTTAATAGCTTTAGTTTTTTCCGTTTTATATTTTATTTGTTGACTTAAGTTTGTCAGAAGTGGTTGTTGTAGGGTGCCAGAATTTGTACAACTGAAATCTTCACTGAGGTTGAATGCTCATTAAATACCGGTACACTATTAATTAAATATTCCAAACCGAATAAGAGACAAAGAGAAATTGTTCAGAGAATCTATTGTGTTGCAGGTTGAAGGTGATGTATTGGCTGAAGACTCAGTTGAGGTCTCAGAAGCAGTGGATGGGGTCTTGATCAATATTATTAAGGAAGATATTTTTGAACCAGAAGGTAAATTATGCAATTCACATTCATACAGCTATCTACAACAGTTTTAAACATGGCCACACTTTTTTATAAGTTTTATAAATATTGAGTAAGTGTTGAAACAGATAAATCCTTGTCAAAACATATATTACTCAGTATATGATAAGGTTTTAATACATAATTACTCTTTAGATTCAGCTCATGCAATGTAAACCTTAGGAACACTACTGAACTTACAAGACAGATCAAGCCCTTGTTGTAATATAGTTGACCTTTCCAAAATGTTGATAGAAACATCTAGACAATTAAATATTTTTACTGCATCGCATCTCACTCCATTCTATACTTATTTTTTTCCGTACCGGTACTCAAATTCAGCTAAAAATATGCAACGTTTCTGATTCAAAGATATTACGAAGCAAGAATAATGGTTTCCATCCTATTAGACCAAAACCATTTAAATAAGTTGGGATTCCAATATTCATTTTGGTGGACTGTGTATGCAATGTAATTTGGATTGAATTACACTAGATATAAAATATTTTAGAATTTTAAGTTTTAATATTTTAAATTTAAATTGTAAAAATACAAGTGTTGTTCCTTATGAACTATAATTACTGCTTAATCTTTATTTGGTCAACAGTTATTGTTTCACCTACGGCTGATCTTGAGTCGCTCAATACTTCTCAACTGATTCTCTCGGATGGTAAAATGTCTGAAGTGGATTTTCAATACTTTGTAGTGTCATCTCTAAAGACAGTAGGTGACCAAAGTTTTTCAGGTAAGTGAAAATCAAACAATATTTACCCAAATTTAAAGGCTCACTTATTTGAACTAATTAAGGAACTAAACATAAATAAACTATACACACTCTCCTAGTAAACAATCATCTATATTATATAAGTAATTTTGGACTTGGGTGCAGGGGGGTTATTTATTTGGTTGTCAAACAGAATATTTAGAAACTAAGCAAATTTAAGGGAAATAACATTTCATACCCACCATAAAGACCCAGACAGCACGTGAGCTTGGACCAAACTTGGTTTTTACATATTTCTGAATTGGTATGACAAACTTGGAGTTTGGAACCCACTACAAATTTAAAACAGCTTTGGTTAAGTGAACTTGTGTGAATGCGCCAAAACTAAACTTGTTTTATTTACATATATAACCTGGTTGGCCAAGTCCACAATTTAAACACCTAACCAGACCCACGACAAGCTTGTTCATGTGAGTCTAAAGTGAGCAGTGGCATATGACAAAAGAATTTTCCCCCAACCCCTTCCCAGAACGCTCCTAAAACCTGTTTCTTTGTGCTGAACCACCATTTTTGTTGAATTTAGACTTCCTCACTCTCAGTTGTCAGTTCTCACTTATCTAGTTCTGTTCTGGTGTTGTGAGTTACTCGTTTCGTTACTAGTTGTGAGTTTTGTTTATGGTTTTGATACCAAGACGAAGCAAAGAAGAATTAAGGGATTCCTGTAAAGGTAAGAAAGAACCCGTAGAATTTTGTTTATATCCTAAACCTTTTGTGCTTTAACCTTTGACATACTCAGCGCTTCACTGAATCGACAACGTCACTCACTATACTATACTCTAATAGTCTACTGCTGAACTCAACAGAACAGTGCCAAAATTTGTGTTTAACCTTAACCATTATAGTCAATGCCTTAACCTAGTCTACAGATAAAACATGCCAAACCATTAGTTTACGTATAAAAGTAAAATAGTAAGAAATAAAAGTTTGATAACAATTTTAAAAACAAAGGTAATTTAACACCTTGTGTTTGCAACACCAACAAATTCCAAATAATCAAATAATTCTAATAACAAATAAAAATAATGAAAAATGATTTAAATGATAAATTTTAATAAACCAAATAATTCTAATGCAATTGTATTTTTTATAGATCTTCTGAAGCAGGCGGTGGAGTTGATGGGTAGAAAAGAAGTTGAAGGTCACGTGGAAGATAGTGGGCATTGTATTTATTATATTAATAAATTGTCTTGAAATGTGAATGTCTTGCTTTCTAAACCTCATATATAACCAATATTTTTTCAAGATCACTCATAAAATAGGCTTCATTTTATCATAAATCTTTCTTGGTAAAAAAATAATTATAAGAAAAAATGTGGGCTAGCAAATGAATGGTGTGAAACAGCTTATATGTTAAATAGGTATAAATTATGTTACTATTACTATATAGCCTATTATAATAATTATTATTATTATTATCTCTGATCATGACAGTAATTGAAGTATATAAAACTTCGTACCAAGTTCTGAGTGAGTCTATAGGTGTGAGCTTGTTTGCCCAAGTCTAAAATGTGTTATAACCAATTCCAAAATGAGTCTAGGCCAAGTCCAATATGAGCCTACTAAAAGCGGGCTTGGGTCTCCAAGTCCATAATGAGCCTGTTTAATTTATCAGTGTGAGCTTGTTTGCCCAAGTCTAAAATGTGCTAAAACCAATTCCAATATGAGTCTAAGCCAAGTCCAATATGAGCCTACTAAAATTGGGCTTGGGTCTCCAAGTCCCGAACAAGTCCATAATGAGCCTGCTTAATCCACCAGACCCGTTTTGTATCCATCATTCCAAGCTTAGAGTGGGTTTGTGCCCATGAGTTCACTGTAGGTTTGGGGTTGGGACTTGGGTTGGACTTGGGGAGCCAAACCCATAACAAGTTGAACCTGCCAACTTCGGTCTCTAAAACAAGTCAAAACCAAGCCTACAGACTTTGGTCCCTGAGTCTAAACCAGGCTTGGGAACTTGGGCCAATGGACTTGGAACAAGTTCCCAGCAAGCCCATTGTGCTGTTGGGGGACTCTAAAGGCACAAATTATAAAGCAAGTGAAAAACTAGTTTGAGAAGAGAGCCAGAGTTCTGAGGGAAAGCAAAGGGAGAGGAATAGTGTTGGTACTGTATGCTACAATATACTTGCAACAACTATATTGAAACTGAAAAAAGTTGAACTAGAAATCTAGGCTCCGTGTGACAACGCGGACAGAAAAGATTTCTCTGGCAAGTTAATATAGTGAGAACTAAACCATCAATATATAGATGGGACCAAATACTTTAGACATGTTTTTTTTTAGAAACAAAACATTATTAGTGAGTAACAGTATTAGTGAGTTGTGTCTGACGTCTGGTTGCATTATAGTTTGCTATGTATTTTGTCACTCTGTTGGTTCTTCATACCCCAATAGTCCGTAAACTGAGTAATAAATGTCAATGCCAATATTGTTCACGATCCATTTGATTAAATATGTAAAACTGTAGGTTGCATTGCAAAGTAGGTTTTAAACTCAAATTCATTGATCAACAATCACCACTGTCAATTGTGTTAGTGTTTGGTGGAATTGATAATGTTTGTGTCAGTGTTTCAAGACATAGAGAGGATCACAGCTGAAGAGGTGGCTGCATCGGATCTGTTCAAGTCTGTTGCTTCACTCCCAACAATGTCTCAGCGAAGCAGATGTACAGATGAGGTACATACGACTAGGTCCTACAGTATCAATTGATTTGATTCACAAAACATTATCTTTATTTGATAAAACATGTTGTGAAAAGCAAACTCTAAATCTGTAGGTTTGATGGATTTGTTTTGGGTTTTTTCATTCCTGGTCTAGTAGTTGATTTCTATTGTTCAACTTACAGCAATCTAACATTTAATTGATGAAGATATTTTTTAGGAATTTCAACTGATGAGATAATAAAACACACAATAAATTGTAGTTGTAGCTTAAACTGTGACAGCTCACCCATTGCTTCTCTAGTTACCTTCTACACACAGGGCAAGGCCTATTTAGACAGGCAAATGCAAGGTTGTAAAAAAGCTATTGATCTGTACTGTATTTCAGTCAGGAGAAAATAATACACATACCTTCCTAATCCAATTGACTTTCTCAATTATTGTTAAACAAAAGCACAATTGCTGGATCAGCACTCAAATATCTCTAGTGTCAGGACAGTAAAGGAGAACTAAAATGTAATTGCAATCAAAAACTGTAACTTTACAGAACCCACATTGGTTACTATTGTTGTAGAAGTGTTCTGATGAGGCTGATGAGAAGTCCCCAGATCCTGAGCTGGGCATCTCACAACCAACTTCTGGAGGCAGATCAAAGAAGATAGAATCCATTAATCTCCTTGATGATGTGATCATAATCCCACGTAAGCACAACTTTCAATGTGTTGCCACTACCAGCTCTATTATAAAGAATTAATTTCAGGGATATAACCTATTTCAGAGGTTATGGAAATCAAGTAACCCTACTTTGTAATAACTTTTAAATTTATTTCTTGACTTTTTAGATCTTAGAACTTTTTCTCTTGTTTTTTGTTTGTTAATTTGATTACTATGTTAATAAAATGTATCATTCTTATAGATTAAATTTAAAAGTAGCTTGCTTAAATTTCTTGAATGTCTATTTAGTATTTCAAAAAGAAAGATATAACGCTTTAATAACTTAAAATTATAATAACTGATTCTACTTACATCTCTTTTTTTTAATTACTGACATTTTTTCATCTTGGTTCATGCCTCATCTCACAGACTATGAAGATAACGCTTGAATATATTTTATAATTTCAACCTCAACATTATTACATTAGCAGTAATGATTATATCTTTTCCTCAGACACACATTTACATTATTTATCTCACTAGGGAGCATTGATATAGTCGTATAGTAATTGACTTAATTGACTGATGGTTTTCTAGGTAATCTCACTTTATATGGAACAGTTATAGTAGGAAATGGTCACATGTCAGCAACAAATGATTTCAATGATTTGAAGCACAATATTTCTGCTGAAAAACTATTAGAATTCGGGATTCCTTTAAATCAGTTTGTAATTGATAAACATTTCAAGTTTACACAGGAACCTAAGGTAAGTAATAGTTTTACCATGGTTTAATCAGATAGATCACAGAAAAGTAAAGAAGCCGAGGATAGATTCAATGGTACAATTACAATTAAGTGGTGTCGAGCACCAGTCGCTAGTGTCTTGAGCATATTCTATTCGTCGTCCCCTTCCGCACTCCATTCCCCCCTTGCCATCATGTACTACAGCGCTCACATGGTAGGAATACCCTGAGTGCTACAACAGCAGTACAGAATATGCTATGGGGCCTTTGTTGTTTGGGCTCTTCCTTGCTTGATACTAGTACATTTCTGCCCCAACATACCAAAGCTAAAAGGACACGGTTGTCCCATAAGCTTGTATCCTCTGTATCTTACTTCTCTGTGGTGAAACATCAAGCCATTAAGTACTGCTTAGCTAATTTGTAGGTAGCAGCAGCAATTATTTTCTTCATAATCAGTAAATAGCAGTAATACAAAAAAATTGTCTTACTTGAGTTTGAAGTTTGATATTGTTGACTTGTCTTGTAACAGTTGAGAACTTGAACTAATAAACTTAAGTTTTAGATGAATTTTTGCTTCAGGATAAATATTTCAAAATACTATCAAAATGATCCATTGATTATTACAGACAATAACATCTGTAATTAGTTAGCTTTTGCAAATGATTCCTAATACATTGTATGAAGAGGTTGTGGTAAGAGATTTAATTTACTGAATACATCTTCAGTGGAACCTCAATAAATCGAATCCCAAGGGAAACAAGGAAATTTCAAATTATCGAGTACTTTGAATTGTAAATGTTCGATTTATCAAGGTTCATCCTCCATCCTCCCCAAAATGTTATTTATAGAGGTTTAATTCAGTGCAAGCAATAAACATCAGGAGAATTGATTGCCTTCTAAAATACGGTGTTTTGAACTTTGTGCATTGTATTAGAATAGATAATAATGTAATGATAAAATTTAAAACTTTAAAATGGAAGAAGTACTGCCCAACTCCCAATTAACCAGTATAAAGTAGGGTTGAGGCTTCCCTGATACGTATAATCATGGTTAACCGGCAAAATACTATTGAATAGGAAATGGTATTAAAACACAATAATGTATAAAAGTATGGTAATTAATATATTTATAGTGCATTAAAACATAACTAAATGTTGTATTTGACAGGAATAATAATGAATAACACACGTGATACACATAAATACAAATAAATATAAACAGTCTTTAAGATCAAAAAAAATATTTACAAGACACAAACTACTGTGAGTTAATTTATTTAAAAATAATCTGTTACAGTTTTCTGTTTTTGAACAAAGAAATATCTCTTTTTGACCTTACTTTCATGTTTTGTAACACAAGTTTGTCTGCAATTGGAGCATTGTATTGCAAACGAAGTAAGAGGGGAGGGTCTATGACCACGAGTGGGCTCGGGCCTGGCTATGGTGACAGTGATTTTTGGTTTGTTTACATCCTACTGCCCTTAAGACACTGCAGTTTCAAAAACATTGATTTGCAGTTTAAAAATATTGACTTGTGTTGGCAATTAAGTTAATTTTAATTTCAAACCGCTTCTTTGTTGAACCTACTCTACTGCTGAACTGCTCATAACCAGTTTTCAGTGGAAAGGTTATAGGTTATTAAGGTCATTGTCTTGTACGAACGTTTTGCCATTTTGGCTTATAAAACTCACTAGCTCTAAGCACTCCAAAACAAAGGAGACACTGTATCTAAAGTACACGCACTATCGAATCTCGCCCATGACTGAGATAGATTGCAATAAGAGCGGAAGTTGGACGGAATAATGGTTTGGCATTTCTTGTTGATTCGAAACTCAGCGCAGTAAAATACATTATCAATGTTTTGAATCATAACAAATTTCATACAACTTCGATTAATAGTAAGGATGGACGGGTCCCGAAATTTCGGGCATTTTTTGGAAATATTATCGGGACGGGATTACATTTGATACGGGAATTTTTCGGGACGAGATTTGGTCCGATCGTCGGCGATTTTGCCGCTTCGCGAGTGCCGATGACGCCGCTATTGCGAGCGATAGGTTCGCTAACGCAGGAGACGAAGTCATTTCGACGATCGGGCCGTGACTGCGGAGTCCTACCGACGATCGCGCCGTGACCGCGGAGTCCTACCGACGATCGCGCCGTGACCGCGGAGTCCTACCGACGATCGCGTCGTGACCGCGAGTCATACCGACGATCGCGCCGTGACCGCGGAGTCCTATCGACGATCACGCCGTGACCGCGGAGTCATGCCGACGATCACACCGTGACCGCGACTAATACCGGCGATCACCCCGTGACCGCGGAGTCGTACCGACGATCACGACGTGACCGTGGAGTCCTACCGAAGATCGCGCCGTGACCGCGGAGTCCTATCGACGATCACGCCGTGACCGCGGAGTCATGCCGACGATCACACCGTGACCGCGACTAATACCGGCGATCACCCCGTGACCGCGGAGTCGTACCGACGATCACGACGTGACCGCGGAGTCCTACCGACGATCGCGCCGTGACCGCGGAGTCCTACCGACGATCGCGTCGTGACCGCGAGTCATACCGACGATCGCGCTGTGACCGCGGAGTCCTACCGACGATCGCGCCGTGACCGCGGAGTCCTATCGACGATCACGCCGTGACCGCGGAGTCATGCCGACGATCACACCGTGACCGCGACTAATACCGGCGATCACCCCGTGACCGCGGAGTCGTACCGACGATCACGACGTGACCGTGGAGTCCTACCGAAGATCGCGCCGTGACCGCGGAGTTCTACCGACCATCGCGGCCGTGACCGCGGAGTCATGCCGACGATCGCGCCGTGACCGCGGAGTCATGCCAACGATCGCGCCGTGACCGCGGAGTCATGCCGACGATCACGCCGTGACCGCGGAGTCATGCCAACGATCGCGCCGTGACCGCGGAGTCATGCCGACGATCATGCCGTGACCGCGAGGCATACCGGCGATCACCCCGTGACCGCGGAGTCACAAGTTTCTACAGGTACCTGTATATTGTTACCCATTCTTTGGTTTTTATAGATCAGTACCACAAACGATAAAAATTGATTTTGTATGTCTTTTTTTGGTAACTGCAATACTCAAGACTTTCTTTTTATGCACAGAAAAAATTCCGTCCCGTCCCGTCCCGAAAATCGGGAAGGAAATAAAAATCCCGTCCCGTACCGTCCCGAACTAAAAATTCAATCCCGTCCATCCCTAATTAATAGAGGGTGTCTTACTATTACTTAGAAGTGCGGCAGTTGCAGGATTTTGAATTATAGAGTTTTTTGGACTAAAACTTCAATTCATTTATAGAGGTATTTTTACAACGGAAAATAAAACTTTGATTTATCAAGGTCTTTCTCGTGAACTATTCGAATTGTAGATGTGAAATTAACATTGCAACAGATAGGGAAGTTCAAGGGGAATGAACATAATTTGATTTATCAAGGAACTTGAATGATTGAGGTTCGATTTAATGAGGTTCTACTGTATAAATATTATAATCTGGTAAACAATTACAGGAATAAAAAAATCATTAAAAAATTAAGTTGATCATAGTATAACCCTTCTAAACACCTTTTAGGTAAGACTTATCACTGAAAAAACATTAAAAATATATTTTTGTGTTATATCGTATTTAAAAAAAAATTGCAACAAACATTTTATAGGTACTCAAAGCCTAATGCAAAAGAAATACTTCAGCAATAATACATGAAATATGTTATTGACTAGTGACTTTTACGTCAGTGGCATGTGACTGGCTGCCGCTACTTTATATGTATCAATACAGAGTTCACTCAATTGTTGTACTGGCTCACCCCTTGCTTAGCTTAATATGTTCCAAGCACAGGCCTTTTACATCCACATGGACAGGCAAAGTGTTAGGCCAACCCCTTTGTAACTAAGAGTATTACATTTGTAGACTCCATCTCTCAACGTGGACACCATAAACTCTGTGGATCTGGAAAGTCTGGTTAACCTAGAGGAAGAAGAGTCTGTGAAGCTGACAGGGGAAAAGTTGTTCCTTGGATCACTAATAGTGGATGGAACACTTCACAGTTCTAATGAACTGAAGAGTTCAGAACTTCTCAAATCTAATTTGAAGGATTTAGCAGAAGTCAACCTTGAATATCTTAATGTTACAGAGTAAGTTTTTGCATCTACATGGGGAATCATGCAAAGTTACAAGTTAGCACATTGCTGATTTAATAATAATCTTTTTGCTTTCTAAGTTTGATAAAGGGTGAAGTGGGGTAAGTGTACGCACGGGGCAAGTGGACGCGTTGACTATAAATAGGCCATAAATGGGAAAAAAAATTTTATTTCATCTTTTTATATGATTTGAAATGTGTTCTTTCAGATTCTGAAGTCAGAAATCAGCATTTATAATTATTTATACATGAAAATTAAGTTTTAAAACACCTTTGCATTTCTACTTGCTACAAAAGTACCGCCTTCACATTTTGAAAAATCATATAAAATCAAAAAATAGAAATAGAAATTTGAAAATTGGTACACTGATACAGTTTTGTAAGAGGAATCCAAAAATGTGGTTTATGTACCTCTAAAATGTATTGTTAAAAAAAATAGGGGGGGCGTACGCTTCCCCCGGGCCAAACAGTGGTTGGGGTAAGTGTATTTCCAGCCCCGGGGTAAGTGTACATAGCCCTAAATGCAATGACAAAAAATGCATTCGATGACATCGGGCCTGTCGTTAGGTTTATAAGAAAAAAAGGTGACAACATGTTTTACTGGCCTGAAAAAGAAGACTGTTCAGTCATTCCTGAAGAGGATGTGCTCAAAATGGTACCAGAACCTACACCAGGCAGAAGGGGGGAGTTAATATTTGACACTCTTTTCTGTCAACGTTCAATAAAAAAATTAAAAAAAAAACTAGATGTAAATATGTAAATAATTAGTATTTTCAAGGCAAGTGAACAGTTCCTTAAATATAGTGTTAGTGAAATAGTCATGTGGCCTAATATGAACTGCTTAAGAATTATTTGGCGGAATTTAAAAAAAGTCATTTACAGTGCAGAATTCGCCTCCAGGAAAGAATTGTATACGCATATTTAAAATTGTGTTTTTAGATTCTAACTAGCCTACCATTATTTGTGAGATATTAAATAAGTTTTTTACAGCATTTAATTCATTTAAAATAATTTATTAACACACTAATAATAATAATTGTAAATGTACCAATTAGCCCTTTCACGAAAATTGTATGTGGAGTTCCACAAAAAAGTTCATAACTCCTGAACAGTTGGAGCTAATTTAACAAATAAAAAACCATTTTAATCAGCAGATTCTAAGCTATGATCCACTTGCCCCAGATTCCACCTAATGTGAGTTAATAAAAGTATAAGGGGGGTGCGTACACTGTATAAGGGGGGTGCGTACACTTACCCCAATTTCAGGGGCAAGTGTACGCACAGGACACCAGTTTATAAAAAAAATTATATAAAAAAAAGTTTAATAATTTACAATAAAAAAAAAATACTACATACACAAAACATTCCAAGCTTTCTGCTCACCAAGTTTCATTAAGATATCTGAAATACAATTGAAGTTATTGTAAGTTAAAGTGCAACTAGTCGTTTTGGCGCGTACACTTGCCCCACTTCACCCAATATGCTACATTTTCAAAGTTAACAATTGGTAAGCCAAGTGGTTAGAAATCTCGCCTTCAAATAAATTGGAAGATGTTGGTAAGAACCCAGTTGCTAATTGTCATTTAAGTATTAATATTTTTTTCCCATGTTTGTGGAATTTTTACAGAAAAGAATAATAAAATGATGTCTTGTAGATGTGCCGGGTACGGGAATCCAACCTGTTCCTCCCGCAACAAAGTCCGAGAGATTTATCATTTCTAGCATCAGGTCAATGTCTAGACCATGTTTGCCACCTTAAAAAAGTAGTAGGATTTTCAATTTTTATTCCAGGCTGATGGGATATAGTATAGTCAGTTTGCTGATATGGTTTATTTTTTGTTAAGTGTTTTACATTTTATGTTCCTCTTATTTTCAGAATCAAAAGCAATAACATCAGGCTTGGTATTAATGAGTGGCAAAAGAGGGTCGTAATTAGAAAAGACGGAACTGTTGTTGTAGACAATCTAAAGGTTGAAGAAAATCTATTTGCTAATAACACAATGGTGCGGGGTAAAATTAACGACCACCATTTAGAGAATCTTTTAGATGATTCAGTCTTTGAAGGAAGTAAGTATGACTTGTACTTACATTTTAATCTTATTAAAATAAGTTATTACAATAAGTTATTAAAATAAGTTATTAAAATAAGTAATATAATCTTATTAAAATAAGTTATTATTAAAATAAGTATCAGCGACTAAGACATTGATTTCCTTGTTGAGATACTAAATGAAAAGATGTGTTCCTACCGTTACAATAAAATGTATTTTTCAGATGATAACCTACTCATGTCAGGAGCAAAACATTTTTTAGCTGAAAGCGAAATACTAAATTTGTACATAAATCCCATCAACAGCTCTAATTTCCACATGGTTACACCAGAGAGTTTATGGAGAAAACGTTTGCTCAAAGCAAAACACATTGAGGTTGACCGTTTATTCTATACAGGTAGGCTTATAAATTACATATTTATAAATGAGTACAGATTAACTATATGTTAATAAAAATTGTATTCATTATTGATATGACTGAAAGATGCTTTCCACATAACTAATAAGTTTACTTAGGTCAATTAAATAAAAGAAATAGACTGTCAAAAATTTAATCTATAGCTCAAGTTACAGCTAGTCTTGAAAGCAAGATTTTTTTCCTCTTGCCTATTCTTTATTTATTTAGTACACCCATATTTGACGTAAGCTATACTTAGTTCTTAATGAAATCTGAATAAATTAATTTAGAATATAATGTCTACTAAAAGATGTAAATACAACCTCATAGTTTCATGTTTTACATTATTAACTAGACATATCTTGGTCTTGGGAAGATGGCTGTCGATGAATTGCTGAAAAAAGTGAATGATATATTTTGGATTTTGCATCATACAATCTTCGGGAACAATTAGATTGAAGAAGAACAAACAATCGCACATTTCCTGTCCACTAGGGATAACAGTCTACTTTCATCAAGGAAGCCTACCATCAATATTAGACTTAAATATCTCTGTCTAGTAATGGCACCTGGCGCAACTCTCAACTCTCACAATATCTCTCACATACGTGATGCTGCTCTGTCTAGGTACTTTGGATGGGCTCAACTCTCGTGTGTTTGGCAGATGGCTGTTGACAGACCGAGACCAGAGTGTTATAGCCTCACAAGCCATCACCAACCTAGAGACCCACAATGTAGCAATGGCACCTGGTGCAACTCTCAACTCTCACAATATCTCTCACATACGTGATGCTGCTCTGTCTAGGTACTCTGGATGGGCTCAACTCTCGTGTGTTTGGCAGATGGCTGTTGACAGACGGAGACCAGAGTGTTATAGCCTCACAGGCCATCACCAACCTAGAGACCCACAATGTAGCAATGGCACCTGGCGCAACTCTCAACTCTCACAATATCTCTCACATACGTGATGCTGCTCTGTCTAGGTACTCTGGATGGGCTCAACTCTCGTGTGTTTGGCAGATGGCTGTTGACAGACGGAGACCAGAGTGTTATAGCCTCACAGGCCATCACCAACCTAGAGACCCACAATGTAGCAATGGCACCTGGTGCAACTCTCAACTCTCACAATATCTCTCACCTCCTCACAGATGCTGTGTTGCTCTCTGAGAACACAACTTTTGACAAAGTTGTATTTGGTATGGCTTAAAATTAATCATACATAAGTAGCCATTTTATCAGTTTTTCAAACTGGTCACTATGACTTTTACCTGGTGGATACGGAAAGTAAATAACATCTGGTAGTTAGTTTTTAATGAAATAGAAATCATACTTTCGCTGGGATTGTACCTGGTACTGTACAGGAAAATAATAGAAAATATTGTACACCCTCTAATAAACAAATCATAATGAGGTTGTTTTCACAAATATTCTTAAACATAAGTTAGTATGTTTTTCATTATATGAATTACTGTAAATCTATTTTCTGCAGAAATTTTACTCTGATACGCTTTGCTGTTAGTGTTATGTAATTTTCCCTGTATGCAGTATATCTGTAAGCCCACCATGGACTATAATTTATGTAATTGAACTCCATTCTTGAAAAACTCCTTAATCAGCCACATATGGGGTGCCTATAAGCACAGCCACCTCTAATACAAGGCCGCGGCGAGCGAAAAGTGGCAACGTCGCATCTGTGTCTTGGCGCGCGGTCGTCTTACCATTACAGTAAATGGAGGAGTCGCGTAGCGACGTACTTATTCGCGTTTATATTACCCTTAATCGTTACATTGAAATTTCTACTGCATCATGCCAGATAGATGTATTGTGCCTGGGTGCAAGAGTAATTACGAAAGCTCGATAAAAACTGAAGGATGCATGCAGTGTTTTAAGATTCCAAGTGATCCGGTGCGTAAGCAACAGTGGATTCGTGCTATTCCTCGGTCAGATTGGACACCTTCAAACAATTCTAGTGTCTGCCTGAAACATTTTCATGAAGATGACCTTAGTATTGTGGGAAAATACAATAATAAAGACTGTGATTGGTGCGAGTATAGACGCGAGAAGCCAGTTTTAGGGGAAAATGTCGTACCTAGACCTTTTCCCAATTTACCTTCATATCTTGATACACGAAAAACGACAAGGAGAAAGACTCCTGAAGAAAGAAGACAAGAGGAAGGCAACAGGATGAAGAGATTCGACTAGCAAAAGTAAGCGAAGTCGGGGACTTTACTTCATTTTGCAACAATTAAGGAGAAAGACTCCTGAAGAAAGAAGACAAGAGGAAGGCAACAGGATGAAGAGATTCGACTAGCAAAAGTAAGCGAAGTCGGGGACTTTACTTCATTTTGCAACAATTAAGGCTGTAATATTAGCACATAATTAATAAATAAATAATAGTAATAAATTGACGTGTATTATTAGCGTCATTTTGCACATTATAATGAATGTGGAAAGCTATATGAAGGCCTAGCTTCTGAGATCGTTTCCACAACGGCAAACGTATTGCTAAATAACCTTAACCTCCTTAAAAACTACCTGTTAAACCTGTGTCCATATAGAGAAATAGACTTTATAAACGATGTTAAATTAAACCTTAGTTAAAACCTTTAGTTCTAAGACATTTCCTTGACTGTGCCATGCATGTAAACCAGTGTAACGGCAATAAAGCATTCTTATTCTTATTCTTATTCTTAATTATTCAAAGAAAATAAATGATTCAGTCAGTAGGCATTCAAACAAGAAAAGAAAACTTAAAATTTTGTCGTAGCTATCTAGACTTATGGTTCGTCAGGTAGGCTAAAACAATAATATGAATATTTAAAATTGAAAATAATCTATATATTTAATACACAGTTGTAACACTGTTTTTTCAGTAATTACTGGACCGATCCACAAGATCTATGTGTCAAATTAAAGGGGATAATGCATAGATTTGCCGAACTTCATTAGAATTCACGTTTGTTCTAAGGACTACGACCTACAGCCCTTCAAAGGTCGAGTCAATACAATTCTTATTGAAGATTATAATGCACAGTTAATAAATTATTCATCAGCTGTTTAATGTTTGTCAGACGGAAAAATTGTTATTATTTTTATAACCTCACTTTCATTATGTTATTCTAGGAGTTCCTGTTTATAAACACAAGATTTTGATCAAGGAAAAGTGTATTTTTTCTTTTTATACCACAATGTATTATTTATAAATGTATTTGAACATTATTTGTATGTTTTGGTGAAAATTTGGTTGTTTTGAAAGGTTTTAGTTTTCCTGTGAAGTGATCTGAAGGAAAGCGATAATTGAGTTTAAGTTTGAGTATGGAATGTGAAATAATACCCATAGTAGAGGACGGAAACTTATTGTTTTGATCAATATAATTTATTCTCTATGGCCACCAGAACAATCATAGGGGAATCCGCTTGCAAGTTGTACAGATGATTGCTAATGAGTGGGAAAAATACAAACATTTTGTCTTAGGTGATGAATCTTACTCAAGGTCAGTGTTTGACGTTCAGCAGTACCAAATTTTACCTTATCGCGATGGCGAGTACGCTGGGATACGTGGAACTACAATTTTATCAGTGAACTATACCCTAACTATTTTTTTTCGAGTAGGCTACACAGGGAAGTTGCCTGAGAAACTGTGACTCACGAATTCGGTTCTGGCGAAGAAGTATGTGAATTGATGTTTAATGGCAATGTTGACTCGGGGTCATTACAGTATTATAAAACTTTATCATTAACCCCAGGGTGTGAAAATTTTAAAAAGAAAAAGAAAAGGTGATCATTAACTGGGCGTGAAGAGACATACAGAACGAAAAAAACACGTACAGAACCAGCGAACTAAAAAAGTAAAGAGCAGTGATGGTGTTAAATGTTCTCTGGAAGTCCCTACAAAAAAAACACCGACTCTTTTGAATTGGGGTCATTAAATTGGATTTGTCACTACTGTAAATCTATGAATTTCGAGTCAGAACAGACTGACAGGGACACAAATATATTCTCCTTATGTTGTCACAAGGGAAAGATAAAATAAGCTCCTTATCAACATTTTGAGTTTATGGAAATCTTATCAACGGGGCTACAGCGACTATAAATAAAGTATTAAGGGTCAAAAGAAACAAAAAAAGCTATTTGAATAATATAAGATCATACAATTCTGCATTTGAAATGGCGAGTTCTAAGTGTCACTTGAATCAACATCTTTCTGGTAGTCTATATAATTTTAAGATCAGGGACTTCTTAAATTAACGACGTAAACACAGCTGTTACTCACGGAATGGGTCAAAGATTCGTGAAATGTGACCAACTGCTGATGCGTTATTTACATGTAAGTATCTATCTTTATTCCATACAACAAATGTATTGAACAAAAAACAACGAATATAGGAATATACATGAAAAAATTATCTCCATAGCATAAGTAGGTTATTAGGTTATAGCATTGTACAGTTTGTATACTATTTATTTTTCAAAGGAAACTCGAATTAATGTAAAACATTAATTCGGTTAATCCAATATATCGGTTTGATTAACATAAAATAGTTAATACAGGCCAACTTATCAGTTAGCTCTATTTCATGTAAAAAATTAAGCAGCCCCTAAATAAAATACAAAGATAAACAGTATTTGTTAATTATATGTCTTTTATTGCTGACCATATTCCCGTGGCGGAGCACGGGCGGTTAACTAGTTTTATTTAAACAATCCAAGATATTTTTATTACTTTACTCTTTAATTTGTAGTTGGAAGTTTTACAAGACATTTTCACATGCATTGCAATTATTACAATACGATAAATAGGCCTACAAACAAACAGACATTATTTTTGTATTTTAGTACACAAATCACTATTATGTGCCATTTAAATATCTTTCATTCATTCTATAGAGCAGTGAAAACAGCAAAACTCTCATTTAAGCTATAGCCTAGCGCGTGTGAAGACGGACCCAGAAGGGGTGTGATTGCGGCGTTGCCAGTTCGAACGTCGCGGCTTTGTATTAGAGGTGGCTGTGCTACTCCATTTAGTAACTCCATAAAGTATTCTCGCCATCTATCTAAACATTCTTCTTTATTTATTATTAACCGACTTCCCCACTACCAACAAAAGGAGGAGGTTCTCAATTTGTTTGTGGCGATGTTTTTTTTTTCTATGTATGTTCACCAATTTCTCTGTGATTCTTTTACCGATCAGTGTGGTTCCACCACCAAAATAACCAGGAGAGTTTCTATTTGGTACCTTATATATTATGTTTAAGTATAATATTTGTTTCGGTGAAAAATTCTGAAAACCTTAAATATTCAACATTTATTTTGTTTACATTTGTGCAGATTGTTTACATTTGTGCAGAGAAGGCAATAAATAATAACAACATTCCTACAGCTGTTAGTTGAAACCATTTAAATGAAGCTACAGACAATTCTTCATGAAACAGTTGCTTCATATTGATCAATAAACTATTTCTTGCCATGGAGCCTAAATGAATTACATTGAGAAAAATGCATTTTGTTTTGGTTACTATAAAAAATGTATTTTAAAGTTTGACCTGATTTGTGTATACAGTAATTCTGTTTTTAGTATTGAATATTCTGACTTACAAAAACATATATGTTTCAATGAATAGCTGTATGATATTGACAAATAAAGGTGTATTGTGAAAACCAAAGCAATCGTAAAACAGGTCTAAATATAAATTAAATGCATTTATTCCATACACGACCTAAGAAGTGTGACAGTGCATAATCGTCAATTGTCTTAAAAGTGTTAAATATTTTAATTATCAAACATGCATTTGCAGATGTGGAATGTTTATTGATATTCTCTACCCAGTTACTACATCATATATCAATACTATTATGCCTGCTTCGGAAAGTCCTAGAGGAAGATGATTTGCAGTTTTGACTAGGCTATATCTTGATCAAACAAAACCACCTACATGGCTTGCACCACTTTTAGCTGAACCAATCTTTCATATACATATTTAATTTGCAGATGTGGAATGTTTATTAATATTCTCTACCCAGTTACTATAACATTTATTTATTTATTTATTTATTTATTTTATTTTCAATGCTACAAAACAGCACATGCCAATTACTTTGTAGCATTAATCAAATAACAGGAATGTTAACATGATATTACAATTAATAATAACACAACTAGGGAAAAAATGTCCGTCTTCAATGGTGACAGTTTCACTCAAAATATAAATAAAGAATATAAATAAGAATGACAATATAAAATTTAAATATACAGTAACAAGAGAATTTATACTAACTAAAATAATACTGATGGTCATGAATCAAATATAATAAATATAATATAAATATATAACAAATAAATATGTACTATTTAGAAAAATTGTAAATTAACGCTGATAAGAAAGTTTGAATTCATTTAACAAACAGACATTTAACTTTTTTAGTGATAAATGAAATATATCAAATTGATAGGAATTACAAGTGCGAGACATAATATTTAGTGGAGAATTGAATCCAAGATTGGTACGAGAGTAACGAGGGGTAAATACAAGAGTGCTGCGTGAATTGTGTCGTGGAACGTGAAAATTGATTTGTCCCAGCAAGTCACTATCGTCCAGCACACCGCTCACCAGTTTATGGAGATAAGATAAGGCGGCCAACTTCCTTCTGTCACTGAGACTAGTCATATCAAACATGGTCAAGAGCTGGTGGTATGAGATGTTGAATGTATAGTGACCAAATGTTTTAAAATATATAAATCTTAAAAATCTTTTTTGAATCGCCTCAATCATGTCTACAAGGTAAAGCTGATGAGGATACCATACAACTGATGCATATTCTAATCGTGAGCGCACCAATGAACAAAATAATAATTTTACTGAGTTTAAATTTCTTAAAAAGCTGCAAGATCTATGAATGAAACCTAATACTGAATAAGCTGCCTTACAAGTGTTCATCACGTGTTCTGCAAATAGAAATTTACTATCGAAAACAACACCAAGATCTTTAAATGCTGACTTTCTACATAAGACAACACCATCCATTGAATAAGGAAAATTTACAATAGTTTGGGTAGTTTTCCTTGTATAACTCATAACAGCACATTTTTTAACATTAAATAATATATTTTCTTTACTCCAAGCAATTAGTTCATCAATATCAGTTTGTAGCTGTTGAGAATCCAAGATTGTGTTAATATTTTTGAAAATTTTTAAATCGTCAGCGTACATTAAAATTTTACTATGTTTTACACACCTGGTTATATCATTTATAAATACTATGAATAATAAAGGCCCTAAATTTGAACCTTGGGGGACACCTGAGTCCACCAGAAATGTGTTGGAGCATGCACCATTGTATGTTACATACTGTTTACGTTTGTATAAATATGAAGAAAATAATCTTAATGTGTTCTCAGATAGGCCATAGTAATGCAGCTTAGACAATAACACTAAGTGATTAACTCTATCAAATGCTTTTTCAAAATCGGTGTACACACAATCAACTTGAATGTTCTGATCAATAGAATTTATAACGTACTGTGAAAAATTTATTAAATTCGAATTAATTGATCGGCCCGGAAAAAAACCATGTTGATGAGGAGTGATAAAATTTGATACATGACCGAGCAATCTGTTGTATAATATGCACTCAAAGACCTTAGCTGGAGAAGATACAACTGCAATTGGTCTGTGGTTTTTTATGTCATTTTGAACACCTTTTGAACATATCAATACTATTATGCCTGCTTCGGAAAGTCCTAGAGGAAGATGATTTGCAATTTCGACTAGGCTATACCTTGAGCAAACAAAACCCCCTACATGACTTACACCACTTTTAGCTGAACCAATCTTTCATATAATATTTTCCAAAGGTACTATACGTGTTAACGACCAATTTTCCACTTTTGAGAGATTTTTTAGTGCTGGTAGCTGAGGAATAACTTTCATATTGTTCCAAAAGGTTTGAGACGTTACTGTATTTCTTTTTATAATGTAGAAGTACACCGATTGCAGGAAACGATGATGTCTGACATTTCAATGTATCTAGAAAAGACAATTAGTTTTTCATTAGGCCTAATGTAATGGACAACTCTTTCTTTCTTAAGGAATATCTAAAAATGTTTATTTTCATACCCATTAAGAATAAGAATAAGAATATTACATTGATTTTAAGAATAAGAATATTACATTGATTTTAAGAATAAGAACATTGGGCGCGTTCAGGGAACATGTACCGGTGCACCGGTGCAGATTAACCGGTGACTTATTCACCGGTACCGCCCCGGGGCAAGAGTCTTGGTCTCCCAGAACGGTTATTCACCGGTTTACGGTACACATCTGATTATAATTTACACATTCACCTATTATTTACTTTATAATATTTAAACCAAACAAACTTGTCCTCACAGAATAAATTATTTGAAAATTATTCACTTAATACGTAATTTAACCCCCTCATAGAATAAATTATTCACTCATTACGCAACATAACCTATAAAACTGATGAACATTATTCGATGGACCCGCCATTTTGCCGTAGCTGCATGCTGTTGTCCAAGAAACAGACCAATCAGAGGCCGCCGGTGTATTATGCACCGTACAATTTCTCCGGTGCATAAATCTTGCACCGGTGGAGGAAAAAGAGGAAATAGCTTGTCTGCTAGGTTAACTCACCGGTCTCCCAGAACGACACATTTTTTGCACCGGGGCAACACCGGTGCACCGGTGCATGTTCCCAGAACGCGCTCATTGATTATGTAACCTGAACAGGTGACTCTTAAAATAATGATTGTTCTGTGGAACTTTTGATTGTGTCAAACAGTTTTGCTTATCAAAAATCCTGAAGTAATTAATATATAAAAAATTATACAGTCACTAAAAATCATGAAATAATTTATTTTTGTAAAAAAATACAACCGACTTCAAACGCTCTAAAAAGAATGAAATAATTTCAATAAAGTAAACTTTTGTATTAGGCAAGCTCACGTATTTCAAGTCGGCGCGGCTCAAACTGCAAATTGTAGCTGGATAACATAAATATATAAAAAAACATACTGAACTGTTTTGTTTATATATTAAAGGAAATATTTTCTTGTATTTTATGTTTACTTCAGAATAAATGCATTATGAAAATAACACACACAAATGTTCTATATGAATAGGAAAATAATTTAGTTTGATATTATTATAGGGAAAAGAAGATAGTTTAGTATTAAAACGTTACTTTTCCAAGTTAGAAACATTTAAATGCGTTATAATCTTTTTAAAGATACTCGTTAATACCACTATAATGCCGATCTCTGATTACGGTAATAAAATAACACTTAACGCATAACTATGAAAAAGACATGCAGATTAACACCTTTAGTTATAGAGTCACCTGCAATATGGACACCCTCTTTCAATTTTGTATCAAACATCATCATAGAGTCGCGCCGACTTAAAATACGTCAGCTTGCCTAATACAAAAGTTTACTTTATTGAAATTATTTCATTCTTTTTAGAGCGTTTGAAGTCGGTTGTATTTTTTTACAAAAATAAATTATTATGTTTCCATCTTTGTCGGTGATCCCAAATGTGCTGGGTGTAAACCCCTTCTTGAAGCAGCATACTGACCTGTAGAAGTCCATACTACTAACATAAAAAAACCACGTTTAAGGAAAAATGTTACTGCATTTAAAACACCAATTAGACTAATGGAAATTCACTCAGTCTGTAGGTTTTCTGTGGCGGAAGTATCATGACTTAGTGACATTATGTTGATGACTTTATTTCCAGGTGGTCCAGTGAGCACCTCGGAGGTACAGATTGGTGGCAGGATGAGTCATCTCCAGGTACCAGCTGATATAGTTATGACTGACTCAGCTGCTGATCAGCTGATTACTGGCCACAAGACGGTGCATGGCAGTGTGTCATTGGCTGGAGATCTACTCACCATTGGTCTTGTGTCAGATGTCAATGTTACAGCTTTCTGCCTTGCTCTCCTCTCTAACCAGTCTAAACTGATCATTTCAGGTGTGTTGACATTTAGTACGAGACTCAGGTTTGGCCATTACTAATCATTAATCAAAATAAAAGCTTGTAAGGTCCCAATTGGACCTAGATTTAAATTTAAATTAAAGCGGGAAACGATGTTACCGGCAGTGTCCACCTGCTGCACTGATAGCGTCTTAAGGACAAAGGGTAGGGGTAGAGCGAGAGAACTCCAAGACCTAGGATCAAGATTTATTTGATCGGCCGGCGCAATATTTTTGGTATTGGCTCTGTACCTTTAGTACGCTAGAATAAATTGTTGTCTTTTATTACCCCAATAAATCAAGACCGAACTAATTGGTGGCGGGCGAAAAAGCTCTAATTTGTTTTTTTACCAATTTCGATTATTAGTAGGTTTCGAGTGGAACAGCCTTGTTGTTATCTGTATTGTGGTCCATTAATTAGTACAATAAAACCAGTCTAATTCACTTAAAAATTATTTAATCGTGATATCTTCCCCAAGTTACACCCGTGGTGAAATAACGCAGGGAATGAAGTACGTAGTTTGTTAGTCATGAAATTAATTTTTATTTATAGTTAGGGTATTCTTTATTTACGATTTATCGGGTTTTATTAAAAGGTGAAGTAACCTTTTCCAGTAAGGAGTAGTTTTATTTTGTGAGCGTAGGAAACACACTAGCAGTAGTTGTAGTTATAGGCTAACCTACGGTTATTTTAGGTGACGTTTGATTAGCTCCTCAACCAACTTAAATTGTAAAAAACACGATCGGGGGCTAATTGGCTTTAATGTGGGCGATGATGATGATGGCCTTTGATTGACTGAGTGAATGATAAAATAGTAGAGTCTGAGCCCAGCCAATTAACAAATTAAATTGAACCCTGGACACACCCAACTTGTAGCACATCCGAGGCTTATAAGGTGTAGATTGTACCCCCTCGGAATTAACACCTTGCAAGCAACACTCATCATAGTAATTGTTTGCATATACCGTTCATTTTTGTCCTGGATTTTACTTCGGTTTACTTGAATTTCATAGGTTGATAGTTTAACAGAAGTACGTTATTCAAAATTGATTATTTTTTGCAAAAAATACAGGCTAGCATCATTGATAGAGAAATTTATCACTAGCAACTGTTTAGGTTAAAACCTTACTCGGTAGAACAGCATACTGTACTTATAATATCTTATGGTTTGAATGATATAAATAATTATTGTTGATGTTTTAAAAGCGCTATCGTTTATAAAACAATAATAAATTTGTTCTCCTCTTATGGCAATAGCAGTGTCTTCCTTTCGTTCTGACTTGCCACTCCAAGATTGTTGTTCAAAGCAATGCAAAAATTTAGCAAAAATATTTATCTTAAGCATAAAATTATCATTTTTAAATATCCAAATTCAGTTGGACCAGGAAGTACTTTTCCAGGATAAAACATAGGACTTTTCATATACTAAACGTAAGTTTAGGAGATACATAAAGGCTTACATTTGATACAGATTTATTTTACTTAGCTAATGAATGACGATAAAAATTTTGTTGGAAAACTGTATCATAATTGTTTAAAATTGTTGCTATTTAAACTGTTTTAGGAAGTGGAAAGTTCCATCAAGAGCCTGAGGTTTTAACGTCTGTTGATGGTTTTGATTGGCCTGATATAATGGATAATGTTTGGTTCAAAGATGATAATGTAACTGACCTCCAAGAAGTTTCCATGGATGAGGTTGAAATCAGAAACCTAACTGTGGTGAGTGTTTTTTTCTGTTCTAACTGAATATCTCTAAATGAATATCTCCAAAAAATGTTTAGTTATTTTTTAATTGTATAGACATTATTAAATTCAAATTGGTTTTTTCAAACTTTCCGAATGCTAGTCAAAATAACCATGGTAGGTTTGGCTAAATAATGCTCAGCCGTAGTTGTGTGTCTCAGTAATAAAACTTGCATTAAAGTCGACCCCAGAGCACCAATTTGCTCCACTTAAACTACATTTAGTAAAAATTTAAATTGATTTTAAATCTGAACTGTACAATGTTGGTTTTGTAGATAGAGCCTAGGATCTTGGTCCTTAGTTCAGATTCTGCCATAATTAACTATCAGTTTTCTCTATTATGAAGCTGTGACTTGATAGTTTGGATCCTACCATAATCTGTAGGTCTACCCATATAGTAAAGCGAAACAAAAACATAGCTTTTTTTATAGAGTCTTGGGTATTATAGTTTATTGATTTTGCAGGTGGATATAAATAATAACAATGTAGAAGAACAACTATCAAGACTAGTAAGTCTGAGTGCAGATCAAGTTATAAATGGAACTTTCTACTTCCCGAGTGTCCGAGCTGAGAAAGGACTGAAAGCAGACAAAGCTACAGTGGGAGGAAATATTGAAGGAATACAGCTGCCTGCGTTTACTGAAAATGTTTTGTTGAATGGAATAGATCAGAAAATTGGTGGTTATCTTGATTTCAACAAACTTGTAATCAAACGTAAGTACTTGAAAACATTGTCAAAGGTTTATAAAAATGTGTATTGTGAATTTACAGTTGTCTCACTCACTCTGGCCTGACGTGATAAACAAATGTGCTCTAAAAACTTGTTATGCATACTTAAAGTTACTTGATATGCATATATTCAATACTTAGTACAAAAGCTCTGTAGTAGTTATGTAGTTTATTCCAGAGAAATGTCTTACCTCTCATTTCAAGCTTATATTGACTGATTAAAACAAGGTCTCATTAAACGTGGCAAATGACCATTCCCTTTTCACTTATTTATTATATAGTGTTTTTAAACAAATATTGTGATTTAACACATGACACGAGAGTCTGTATTTGTTCTAGATAACTTAAACAACTCGATGTTTGTGAACGGACTGAACATGACGTCAGACCTGATGCTAGCCAATGTAGAGTCCAACACAATGTCTGCAGAGCTGACCCTGGACCAGCTGATCACCAGACAACTGAGGCTACCAGCTGGAGCTCCACTGGCTGGAGTGGACGTCCTCTCCTGGAGTAGATCTGCTATCACCAAGTCTGGCATCAAACACGTCATCTCCGGCGACATCACTGTCACCGGCCAACTAGACTCTGGCCACGGAGTCAGGTGACAATCACAACTTACATCAAGTGTTTATATTCATCATTAAGGAGGTTTATTAGGAAAGGAGTAGTGTTAGAGTTCAGCGTGTACATAAGTTAATTTGATTCCAGAGGTTCAGATACAGGAAAAGTCACATAAGATTTATTTGTATTTTGAAACCACTGGACTCTATCTCACCCGGTTAGCTAGCTGAACTCTAATTATTTCCAAAGATTTCCTTAATTAACCATTTTCCTTTGCTTTAATAGTAAGACCATCATTTTATACATGATAGACAAATTCTTGATTGAAATATTCTGTATAGTCGCTGTATTTTTTTCAAAGGCTACATTTGATTCATTGATCATTAATATTGACTTCATGAGAGTCTGTCCCATTTTTAAAAAAGGTAAAAAAGATATTCCAGAAAGTTATCGCCCAATATCAATCATTCCTGTAGTATCAAAATTGTTTGAAATCATGGTTTTTGACCAGCTGCATTCTTTTTTTGAAAGAAACAACTTTTTAAGTGTATCACAATTTGGATTTAGAAAGGGCAAGTGTACATCAGACGCAATAGATAAATTGATTAATGAGGTACTAATGGTCTTTGAGAGGAAGTCACTTGCTCAGGCCACTTTCTGCGACCTGAGTAGGGCTTTCGATTGTGTCGACCATGATGACCTAATAATGAAATTAAGTTTTTATGGTATCAACGGATCTCCACTTTCTTTTTTCAAATCATACTTAAACAATAGAATACAAAAAGTCAATATTGATGGAGAATGGTCCCAAGAATTAAAAATGAAATATGGCGTGCCTCAGGGATCTGTTCTAGGTCCTCTATTATTTTTAATTTGTATTAACGACCTCCCAGAATGTATAACCAGTAAAACTTATTTGTATGCAGATGATACAACATTTTTAAATATTAATCCCGATCTTAAACAACTTAAAGAGTTAGCTCAAAACTCAATCAATGAAGCTTCTATTTGGTTTGAATCAAATGGCTTCCTCTTAAACAAAGATAAAACTCAAAAAATTGTTTTTAGCCTTAGACCCTGTGAATCAAATATGTTGGATGGTTGTGTAGACAATGTTAAATTTCTTGGTATTTATCTGGATAAGACCCTTTCTTGGGGAGATCATATAGATTACATAAGTTCTAAGCTTTCAAGGGTGATTTGTCTTATAACTAAACTAATACATTGTATAGATCAAAATTATATTAAAACAGCCTACTTTGCTTATTTCCAATCCATTTTCAGATACAATATTATCTTTTACGGAAATTGCAGTAGGATAGAGGAAATTTTAGTCTTACAAAAGAAGTTAGTTAGAATCATATCTTGTGAACCCCAACAGGAACACTGTAAACCCCTGTTCATTCAGCTACAAATTCCAACAGTAATTAACATTTATATATTTGACTCTGTATCATATATTCTACAAAATCCCAACCTTATCAAACAAAATTCTCATGTTCATAATACAAGGAATAAAAACGTTGCTACCATAGATTTTTTTAGACTGTCTAAAACTCTTAAAAGTCATATTGTAATCTCACTAAAAATATACAACAAGCTAATACATTTAATAACAAAATATCCTAATAAAACTTTTAAATCTAAATTCTACAAATGGCTTTTGAACAACCCTTTTTATTCTCTAAAAGATTTTTTTGAAATGCCTTTTATTAATTTTTAAGTAGAGCTAGCAAATTTATCAAATTACTGTTGGATTTAGTTGGTTATGGGGTTTAATAACTTTCATTATTCTAAATGCCTTGCATTTTTCTGAACAATAAGATTATTTGGTGGTAATATTAAAGTATGTATTGTAACATGTCTCCTTGTGTGTAGTATTCTTGTAAATATTGTATATTGTATTCATTAACTGACTATGCTAGTTTTAGCAGTTTTTCTGACATTGTCAATAATTTGTATAAATTCACAAGACAATAAACACATTTCATTTCATTTCATTTCATTTCATTCCATTTTCATGCTGCTAGAAAATGTATTTGAACTCACATTGTACAACGACCTGTTACCTGTTCCTTATAAGTAACTGCTTCCTTTAAATTAAAGGCAGGAATGTGATCACGATTGCAATTCCCACTACATCTTGCATATGCAATGTCAGTATATCTCAACAAAATGCAATGTGGTGTACCTGGGAAAATAAAAATTTTCCTTTGGCTTACTTTATCTAGCGTTGTCAAGAGTAAGAACTATCGAAGGCTTGCTAATTGAGCCATTTTTGAGACAAGAAGAGTAACAATCATATTAAGTTGTTAAAATCTTTTTTTAATGAAAAATTTTGTTTAGAAAGAAGATAAACTGTTTTGCTTCTTTGTTTCCTCCGCTCAATTGGCAGACCTCAGACTGCATGCCTAGTGTTTATAGAAAACAGTAACATTCAAACAATAGTATTATAAGTGTTCGAAATCTTATAACTCATTCAGGGCCGCAATGAAAAAAACAAATGTAAAATGTACATTGTAAATTATTCTTTTGGCATTGTTTGTATATACTTATGTAAATATATTATAGTTTAGATTTAGTGACTTGAGTTAGTTTGAAAACCATGTATCATGAAACTCGCTTGTAAATAAAGGCCTTTTTATTTATTTATTATGAAGGATGACGATAATATTTGGTATGACATTTTTCTTACAGAGTTAAAGGCTTAGTAAACGGCTTACCTTTTGATGACAAAAATCTTATGACATTGAATGGAGCTCAAGAGACTAAAGGGAAGAAGAGATTTTCTTCTGAGACACGTCTAACCATCCATAATCTGACAGTAGAGGGATCATTTAATAATCTGAATTTTACAGCCTTTTGTGATGAGCAGGTAATATTTGTTAAATGAAAGAGGTAACGAAATAAAAGTTTAGGTGTATTATATAGTTTGTAAATAAAACTAAATAAAAAAATTAAGAAATTTTATTTAAAAAAATTAAAAAATAAAATTAAGGAGTTAGTGTGTAAACAAATGGATCAGGTGCATTACCACCATATTCACGCCTAAAATTGGGCTGCACAGTAGTAACAGAATTTGTTTCCATTAACCAAATAACACATTGCGCTTTCTGCTGCGGAGTAGCCATTGCACTCTGACAGCGCTGGATGCGGCGCGTTCAGTATACCCAAGGTCAAAAGGGTATACTCATTGCCAACCTATAAAACTAAATCTTACAAGTATACTCTACAGCACCAAAGGATTATTGCTCATCCACTTAAACTAATACTATCGTCAGGTATTTTTAAAACTAGGGAGTTCTTTTTCTTAGAACAAACAGGTCTAATTATCAGAATAGTACTAGGGATAGTCATAGTACTCACTAGTGCAGACGTTAATCCACACCATGGAGTATCGCATGCCTATAAATATCCACAATTCGTCACCTCCAAGTAGCTGGATTACAGGACGATGCCACCGTCCCAGTCAAGCAAGGCTGGTAGTAATAGTAAGGTAGTATACGTTTGTATCAAGACCCGCTCCATACTACACTCATATATTGTAGTGTCTGGTGTGTTGTTGTAGGTGACAGCCAGAGGTGATGTGAGAATGTCAGGTCCCAAGCAGTTTACAGCTCCTGTGGTGTCACAGAGGGTGGTTCTGCCTCAGATATACCACGGTCACAATCTTACTTGGCTAGAATACCAACTATCTGCTCCACTCCCATGGTCCTCTTACCAACGGCAGCTTGACAGTATTATGCAATCTCAGCAACTAGCTTCACAATGCCTCGCTGGTAGGTGGTATTGGCTGTGCACAAGTCATATAATTTACTCATAGCAAAACTTTCACCTAATTTAACTTTAAACTTTTAAAATATGTTAGGTGAATTTTAATTTGTTAATTTAAATGTTGAAACTTATACCTCTGATTTGATGAATACTGCGATATTCTGACTTATTTTTTATCTTAAAAATTATGTACAGGGTGGATTTTAAACAATACATATGGAAAATTGGTTTTTTTATCACATTCTGGCGGTGCTGTTGGTTGAAGAGAAGGGAGAGTGGTCATCATTTACAGGTAACTATGGAAGGGTCGGAATATATTCGTTGTTCAGTTGCCATAGTGGAGTTGTCATGGGTTTTGCTCGTTATGGGAGTGTTCATTATGGGATATTATGTGTATTTTTAAATATTTAATTTTATCATTGCTGTGCAGCTTGCTTTTCATTTGCAATACAGTCACCACAAATTTAATAAATGCATTTTGAACAGGGTACATGTACCTAAAGATAATACCTAATACCTAAAACAAGTAAATATTCAACATATTGACAAAGTTAGAGCTGATGTACTGTAATCTGCTCAACAGGAGAAGCTCTCAACTATACATTTTGACAATTTGAATTAATTGCTGGTCCTCACAAATTTAAATGTGTGAAAATACTATACAAATTCAGTTCATTATGAAGGATCCAGTGACGACAGTCTCTTGGTATACCAAAAGTTTTTATTTCTGGACTTAGGGTATACGGTATCACGCTACTGCTAGCTCGTTTTGTTTTATGCAGGCATTGTCCATGATCGTATCCCTACAGTGGAAAATGTCCTGCTTTTTAGGAATGCATCTACCCTAACTACTCATAATAAATTACAGTATATACCACCCAAAAACAAGAAGGAAACTATGAATCACAATCAAAAAGCTAACTTTAAAGCAATGATTGGGCTCTCCTCACATATCCACTGCATTTTGAAAACCACGCAAAACATGTACACAAACACCTCATTGCCACCAATAAACCTTATCCTTATTCTCAACCAAAATCTCCTTCACAGACTAAATTTTATTTGAAAAAGAAACTTTATTGTGCTTTGCCCTGTATTCTCTTCTTCGGTATAATAATGAATTTAAATCCCTTTATAGTAGGTAAATGTGTTATCAGACGTTATTGTTAAAACAAATTGATTCTAAAAGCTGTATAAAATGACTGATGTTGTAGGCAAAGCATATTACCTGAAGAACTTGACTAGAGCAAGGGATGTTGACGGAGATGTGCTGTTTACGCTGCCTCTCAGGAGTGGCAACACAACTGTTCTGGGTGTTGTGAGGAAAGACACAACATCGACATCAGAGCCACAATTCACACTATCTCTGCTGCACTGGAGTGACAAGCAGAACACGTTCACTCAGACACCCGGTAACACTTGTAACTAACCTTTACAGATAATGGCTTCAAAGAGGAGCGTGGTTGTAGCATTACTAGACTAAATAATAATATACTTATTAAAATGTCAGACATTATTTTGCAGACATGAAATTACACAGTCAGATAATATTCAGTCAGATGAATTACAGAGGGAACTGTAATTAACATTAATCTATGAAAATTATTATTCGTTTGAACTCAAGTGTCTGATGGTTTCAAAATGTTGCGGTAAAATGGGTAATGAGTTCTGTATAGTTTTCACTTTATCTCCTTATATTATAAAAACAGAAAAATATAACTTTAAAAACTGCTGTAAGTTATAGTCCTTTTAATTCTGAACAAAATGGTCCAATGCTGTAGAGATATATCGGTTCAAAAGTGATTTTTATTTTTCTTAAATTGCCCAAAAACATTAATAGTTATATCTCGCTCCATTTACTCAAGACAATTTAATGTCGAGTTAATTGGAGTAGGTATGTGTCAGTTTGCTGATACTGTTTATTTTATAAAGGAATGAGAAAACAGGTTGAGGCAGTTGATAGCATAAAAAAGTGCACAGTACAAATAAATTGATATTCTCTTCCAAGGGGGCTTACTGGTTTTTAACTGTCATTCTACTAATTTCATCTACAGAAGATTTGTAGGAGACAATATCAAGTTACTTGTTTTGTAGGTTTGTTGTATGCTATCAACTGATTGGAACTATTCCTAGGTGAGTTATGTACGGTATCAATACTTTAGGTTGATTATCCATTCTGCGCTCTGTGCACTCCATTCTGCCTTGATGTGAAAAAGCATTGTTAGTTTGTAGTAACATTAACAAAATAGAGACAATATGTAAAACTAGTTCACATCATATCGATTACTGCAGTATTACATCAGTTTTGAATGTTGTAAATCTACAATCCAGGTGGTGTGAACTATTTGCTGAGGACAGCTCCATCCCAAGTACAGATGGTCACTTTGCCAGGAGGTGATCTTGCTGCGTATGTCACCAGCTACTTGCCTTACAACCTCACCTCTCCAGGTAAACATTGTGTAGTTCAAGGTTCTTTCAATCTTAATCAAACCAATTGTTGTTACAGGAAACCTTATGTACACCTAAATGTTTGTGATGTGACTAGGAGCAATCCCAATAATAGAATCTAAGGAAGGGCCTAGATTGTTGCCTAGCATTCTTATTTCCTCCTGCCCCCTTCCTTTTACTAATACATTTATGTTAAATTTAATGATCAGCGATTTATATATTGTAGGCTTTTAGTAACTATATGTACATATAAAATCAATAACTATAAAAAAGTTTTTATGAATATGGTTTTAACATTTTTTAGCTTTCCAATGGGTCCCATGCCCCCCTTAAGCCACCACCTGGCACACATTTATATTTGTTTTATTTTTCGTTATGTTTTTTCCTAACTCATATAATAACCTTAAATGTATTTTAGTTAACTAGTTAACAGTATATTTACCACTTCAGAATATAAAAATTTCACACCAACACAGAAAGCTCATACTGTATAACCCAACTTTAACTAATAAACTGATTAATTCAAACATCATCACATTAATCACCTCAAGAAACTCTTTGGTCAATCCTAAGAAGTTTGTTACAGCTTACAAGCTAATTCCACCATACTAAAACATAACTACAGTTACCTGTATCAATTTCTCATCAGCCAACACTGCCGTAACAGTTAAATATATGAGACTTTTAACACCTGTGAAATATATGACTGTCTATTAACTAGTTACTACTGCAACTGCTCATGCTTATTTATTATTATTAATATTACACATGATAGCTTCATACCTTATTAAAATAAAATGTTGATTTTTGGAATTTTGTCATAGTGAGACATGGAGATCTTTTGAGATTGAAGGAAGGAAAACTGACTGCAATGTCCATATATGGGGGTCAGCCAGGATCTAATATCTACCCACTCTTGGACTATAAACATAGAACTTGCTTTATTGTGATATCAGATGGATGCAAAGTCCATTGCTATAGAGAAGGCCGGCCACCTGTTAGACTACCCAAGTTTCACTGCAGGAATATTACTAAGGTATAAGTTATTTTATTCTGTAAAAATGAACGGTATATAATAACAAAGGTTTCTGTGAAAAAATCACACAAATATTATAACTGAAATAGTCAACTCTTGATATTTGGTTTTATTAGTCCACTGTCATAGTTTTCATTATAAAAAATTATACTCAGTGTACTCAAAGACGAAATAAGACAAAATAGCTTATTCCCTATATGGGAAATTTTCTAACCCAAAAATAAAGTTTTAAAACAAATAAAAAGGCAAAATTATTTGGAGTGGGAGGGATAGTTCTCAAACGAGCGGCGGCTAGAGGGTCCGCCGGGTCCTTTGGATAGCGTGGGCTATACTTGTTGCAGGTGGCGCAGTATGACCTTAAGAGGTATGACCTTCATGGTCACACGCCAAAAAAATAACATAGGCCAGAGGCACTGAATTTTTGGGTCTTGAACAACTCTAGTATAGATGAAAATAGCTTATTCCCCATATGGGAAATTTGCTAAAAGAGCTTTTATCATAAAGCTTAATTATTAAAGCCGATAAGCCTTTGAATGCCTGCCCCAAACAAGTTATGGAGATCATCTTAACACCAGGGTCTAAGGTGTATTTTGCCCTGGTGTGTGGGACTCACTAAAAACTTATCGGTCCAGGCAATGGAAACCTTTTCAGAAATGCTCTTTGTAATACTTCAAGAGGGCGTGCTTGAACGCCAGGGATGGCATTTCAGCCCTGATGTTCCACCAGTTGACCAGTTCCCAACCTCAAGGTTCACTGTTTCTGTGGCGGTTGTCAGGCCTGAGGTTTACTCTGGTGTAGGAGTTTTAGATTACAAAGTGTTCACTCACCACCATGTATGTTCAGGCCACAACATTCAGGACAGACAGAGGTCAGTACGTGCTGGGTGTCCAGACCCAACCTCAAGGTTCACTGTTCCTGTGGCGGATGTCAGGCCTGAGATTTACTCTGGTGTAGGAGTTTTAGATTACAAAGTGTTCACTCACCACCATGTATGTTCAGGCCACAACATTCAGGACAGACAGAGGTCAGTACGTGCTGGGTGTCCAGACCCAACCTCAAGGTTCACTGTTCCTGTGGCGGATGTCAGGCCTGAGATTTACTCTGGTGTAGGAGTTTTAGATTACAAAGTGTTCACTCACCACCATGTATGTTCAGGCCACAACATTCAGGACAGACAGAGGTCAGTACGTGCTGGGTGTCCAGACCCAACCTCAAGGTTCACTGTTCCTGTGGCGGATCTCAGGCCTGAGATTTACTCTGGTGTAGGAGTTTTAGATTACAAAGTGTTCACTCACCACCATGTATGTTCAGGCCACAACATTCAGGACAGACAGAGGTCAGTACGTGCTGTGTGTCCAGACCCAACCTCAAGGTTCACTGTTCCTGTGGCGGATGTCAGGCCTGAGATTTACTCTGGTGTAGGAGTTTTAGATTACAAAGTGTTCACTCACCACCATGTATGTTCAGGCCACAACATTCAGGACAGACAGAGGTCAGTACGTGCTGGGTGTCCAGACCCAACCTCAAGGTTCACTGTTCCTGTGGCGGATATCAGGCCTGAGATTTACTCTGGTGTAGGATTTTTAGATTACAAAGTGTTGACTCACCACCATGTATGTTCAGGCCACAACATTCAGGACAGACAGAGGTCAGTACGTGCTGGGTGTCCAGACCCAACCTCAAGGTTCACTGTTCCTGTGGCGGATGTCAGGCCTGAGGTTTACTCTGGTACAGCAGCTTCCTCAGTTCAACCCTGTAAGCATTGCTGCTACCACAACCACTGGACCTCACATAGCAGTGGCCAACCAGCATCAACTAGGGCACTCTCACGCTGAGTCGATCAATATATTCAGGTAAATGTACAAGGTTGATCCATTGCCTTTGAATATACATTGTACATCTGTATTGTAGAATATTTTTACTACCTATCTCTTTAAACATTGCAGATGATTTCTTTTATAGTTAGGAATCCTTTGAATGACGATCATGTTATTACTGAGACCGCAACTTATTTACAGGTGTTGTTGCGACTTTGACGATCATTAATTTAATACCAATTATATAAAAATAATTATTTTCACAAGGCCTTCGCGGGCCGGATGGGGCCCACAGGCCGTAGTTTGGAGACCCCTGGTCTATGACACTCCGATGATATATGGCCTTGTAGGTCTGTGGTATCAGTGATGTTGTTATGTTATGCCCAGCGGGTTCTGGCCCAGAGGCCCAACAGACTCATGGATTTAAGCCCACCAGATGGTATACCCAGTGGTGGGAATGATTCCCCTCTATCAGAGCATTTCTTCCCCCTCTTGGAGAGATTTCTTTCCCTTTCTTGGGGGATTTCTTCCCCATTTTTTGTTTTTGCTGACTTTTTCATAGGGCTTTTTTTCCTATAACCTACAAATATCACCTGTTTAAATGTTACACATTATTGTTCACAGACTAGATGAGAACACCTCTCAGTTACGCCTGTGGCAGAGTCTGCCTGTAGTCTCTCCTCTGTCAGTGGTATTTAGCAGTCTGCCATCATCAGAGTCTGTGTTGTGTGTATCATCCAGTGTACCTGCGTCTCCTCTACTAGTGTACATCTACAGAGGTCTAATAGGCTACCAACACCTCTTGTCAGACCCTACACTACCTGTCTCTGAAGATCTTCAGTCTTTCACAGACTATCATCAGCGACACTTTCTAGTCCTCCACTCCAATCAGACCGCCAATATTCTTAAAGCTGAGTTTGAAGGAACTGTGTGATCCTCCCCTAAGATAGTGAAAATGTATAAATTACTATAACATTTGTGATATAATGTGATTCATAGCTTTATTTTCTACCATAAAGTATACAAATTGTAAGATATTTATATTATGGCTTATTGGCTATATTCTATATATATATATATTTTCTATTAGCAATTGAAAGTTCCTAGAAGAATTGAAGAGTCTTAGTTTCTGTGACACTATAATGTTATCATGAATGTGATGTAAAATTGTAAGATATATTTCAACCAGATCATTTTTTAAGTGTGAAAATTTTGTTAAAACAATATAATGTTTTGCTCTTCATATGCATATTTACTCTTTCCTGAAAAACATTTTTGTAAGAGTTCAGTCACCTTAAATATTAGGTGCACTAGTTTTTGCTGGCAATAACCATATTGTGTGTCTGTAACAAAAAAAAAAAAAAAAAAAAACTGAAAATATCACCGTTTTTCTGTAAGCAATAAAAACCAACATTTACCAAAATTAATTACAAAATTTTTACAAACTGACTAGACATAGGATAACAGATAACCCCCCCCCCCTCCCCAAACCTTCAGGTCACCGGAATTCTACCCCCCTCCCCCCATAGAATTTTACGCCTAAAGAAAATCTGACATCACCATGACGTAGTACCTTGAGAGCCCTTAAGTTTGTTCGGAGGTGGAATTTTACCCCTTTCAGAGCATAATAAATTATATTTGCAATAAAAGCTAGAATTTTAGCCCATATAACTAAGGTTTCAGGAAACTGTTGATGTACAGCCCCGAATTTCACCCCCTGAAATTTTGTCCCCGGTATTTCACCCTCTTACCAGATATATAATTTGGTGAGAATCATACTAAGTTATGTAATAGTGTTTAACTACGGTACTTCCCTCAATTGAGATAAAGAAACTATTATCAAAACAAATGTGGTGGCCCTTAACATGTACTGTATTGGAAACAAACTGTTTTTGGTGATACTTAACAAAAACAGTCTTCATTATATAACAGTAATTTTTTATGCAAGTTAACATAAGGTCTACAAGTTTTTTGTTGAACGAATATACCCTTTATGACCTTCCTCCTCCCCGTCTAAAACTATACTCAGTATATACACACATAATTGTCATTCCCAAAATGTAAACTGTGCATCCATATCTGGTATTTTAGAGAAAAACAACATATTTTCATTTATTTGCCAGAGACTATTTTAAGCATGATGAACTTTACTGTTTGCACTTTGTTTTTTACCAAACAGTTATTCTACGGATTAGTTTTATCAAACCAGTAGACAATTTTATCTTCTGTTTGTCAATGTGTTTTTTAGGAATGTCTTTGTGACTTGTAAAACAGAAATCGATTATAGAGCAGGTCAAGCTAAAGCTTTCGAACAAAGAAGTCAGAAGAAGATTTGTATGACACAGATCAAGTAAATCAGATCAAATGGTTTCACACATCAATAATCTTTCTAACAACAGTTTAATGGTAAACAGAAGCAAATTGAGTTTTTTACATTAATGAAAATTTAAAAAAAAAATTGTCATCGTAATGTAGCCTTCAATAAATTGAAGAAAGAAAATGCACATGATTGTATGGGTGTTATTATTTTTCAAACTGTTTGGTAGGCTTTCCATAATAGCTGATCTCACTAAAATCTAAAATCCCTGATTTATAGCAAAAGGTTGAGGTCAATTAAAATGTAAGTCAGAATAAAACTGTACCTATATAATATTTATTGGAGTTTTTCAGTTGTCTTAAATGCTATTAAATTATAATCTTGAAAAGATACCAGTAATGTAAGGTAAATAGTTAATATTACCAGTAATAGACTACAGTGACAACTAATAGTTCACATTTGAGTGAAGTCAGCCAACTGGTCTAATGAAACTATAGCGTATAGAAACTTAAAGAGTTAAGAAACAATTACAACTGAATTTGCTAACTGCTAAATTAAGTCTTACAGAAAAACAAAATGAAAACATTTCAAAATTATCTATACATATTTTGCTATTGTAGTAGGAACTAGTACCTCAGTCAAGTATGTTTAGAATGTGGATACAGGAAAGTGTGATTTTCATTATGAGAAATCTTAGTTCAAAAAGGTGTTTCCAATTGTTAAAGATATACAAAAACATGACATAATGGCTGTGAAAAATAATGGAATTTTTGGTTTTAAACATTTAATTATTAGGTACCTATATATTTTGTGAATTTGGGCAGAAATATTTGTAAACTTCAAAGATCGTCTTATGGTAGAACTTTTATAAATATGTAGATTGTTCACATGTGCGTGGTCTAAATCGATTATAGGGGAAATAATAAATCCTAGAGTGGTTTAGAAATTAACTGAAGCTGAATATAGAGCTATGAGGAATTTTGGTATAACGGAGGTTCAATGAGTTCTCACAGATTTTTTTGACAAGGCTCCCATTTCGTTCCTAAATGTTGATTGGGGAGCTGCTTTTTCATTTGGAATATTGCTAAATAAATATGTATACTTTATGAAAATAGTAACACTTTCCTGAAAATAATTAAAAAGACTCCCTGAATGTGTCTATGAACTATTTAGTTTATCTTGTAACAAAAAACATGCACTTTTAACTGTGAAGAAAATAAATGTTTCGAAGTTATGAAGGCCGTTGACCGCAGTAGCTGGAGAGCTCGTCTATTGTACAAGGTTTGGAGCAACATTCGTCAGCAACCCCTCGAGTTTGTCGGCGGAAGTACTCTGGAATCACTGCAAAAGCTTTGGCTCTGGACCGGAACGGATAAATCATCTGCGGGTCCTCCATGCCAATGAGGTTCATTACCCAGTCTTCGTGACCTGAAGTGCCGTCTGCAGAAAACACAGTTGTTTGAAAAAATACACAGAATAACTGTACACAAAAATACATAATATGTCATCATGTACTACTCATCATGTGCTACTTTGTTGAGCATTAAATATGTTACTTAAGTTAAATTAGGGAAGTCCCTATTTGTAGTTTTGGGAAAGCAGATGGATCAAAGTATAAAAAATAAAAATGTATTTAATGGAACCAGAAATTTAAAAAATTAAATTTTTAGGATTATATATAACAAAATTAGACATCTTTTAACTAAAAGAGAGGAAATACAATAACTTTGATAAATACAGGATTTTCAATATACTCATAGCTAGTTAGAAAATACACTTATAAAGCACTTGTCTATTCTATTGTAGCATATAATAACAACATTCGTGATAATAAAGTCCAAGAATTATTTAAACTGAATGTACAGCAAAACAAAAAATCAAACCCCAAGTGTCCATCAACATTCTTCTAGCGTTTAGGACAGATACCTGTAGTTTATTATTTTAGAATATGTTTACTTTACTATATTATGCTTCTTTTGGTTCTTGATATGGATTATCTTGTAAAAAATATGTGTCATACTAAAGCCTCTGATAATAATTACCATTAATATAGTGGAATCTAAAAAGCATTCCTAAACTAGAAAATCTACCTACACCACCAGTTTTCAGGATGGTTGTAGTTGTATTTTTCTTCATATAATTCTCTTTTATGGGAGGCATACCACAAAACATGAACAGAAGAATTTATAGGTTTATTAATTTGGGAAATGAATTTTTACAAGTAGACAAACTGTGCAAGGTCTTTACCAGAGGAGCTTCTCTTATAGATGCTGTCACACAGGAACATGAGGTTCCGTCTGAGCTCCTTGCCACAGTAGTGCTTGCGGCCGCTCTTCTTGTCTAAGGCAAACATGTCGTCATCTCCATACGAGAGCGCAATCAGTGATGAGAGTGCAACTAGCAAAAACGTTCTCATCTGCAACAAAGCAGTAAAAATCTACTGTCAACGATCAGTTATACATCTTAAGAGTTATCTAGACTGCAAGTACAGTAAACCAGCTACTTTGGATGGTGATGATACAGTAGGTGATGTAAAAGCAAGGTTGCAACAGTTTCTTACAACATGATGATTTCAACAAGATGCTTTCTTATAACATGTATTAATTTTAGTATTACACTAGTGGTATGAAGAGTGTTTAATTAATACTATTGTCTTTTTTCTGGAACACCTTGGATATTGCAAGGCTAGCCTGTGCAGCATTATCAGACTATGAAAACAAGGGTTTTACCCATTAAAATTAAAAATTAAAAAAAATGTATAAGTTTTTATACATTTAAAATTGTTTTTCCCATTTTTTTTCCTTAAAACCATATAATTCAAGAAATTCTTTCCAATCCATCATCGACCTTAATAGAAAGAAATAATTTTGTAAATTGAAGTGTTGTTACATCTTTTATGGTTACAAAGATAATTATTCACAAAATTTAAAATTTAAAATCTTGTTGCAGATTGCTTTTTTTATGAAAATATTTTTATCAAATTTGAATTTTTTTTTTCATGCTAAGCTATGAAAATTTCAATTTAAAAAACACACCCATTGTCTTTCCTATAGCAAGCAAATCTAAGTACTAATTAAAATTATGTTTTTGAAATAAGAAATAAATCTGACAATTAAGGGAATGTTTTATTGGAAATCCAGCCAGGAATCAGGTAAATGGAAATTCGCTTAGTCTGCAGGTTTGCTGTGGCAGGGGTATTTAAGTGTGCAAGGAAAAAATGATTTACACCTCTTATGGATTTATTTGAAATTGCACGATTTCTTTGAGTTTAAATGTCATATTTTTTCATCAAAATGTTGTCATCATATTGTTAAAAAAATATTTTTGTCAAAACTAGACCCAGCCAATATTGATCGTTGCACTTTCAATAAATTATTGGTCCTGGCTAATGGGAAAATAGATGTTCATTGTATTATTACAGCAGGTAATTTACAATATTTTTAAAAGTTTAATAAACCTTTATTTAGAAACATTAAAAGCTAGAAACGTTAAATTCCATTCTAAAACTTTTTTGGCAAAACGGTCTTTAACCTATTAAGTAACTGAGCTAAATAAAAAAACCAAAAAAAATTTTAAATTAAAAGTTTTATCCATTTAAAATTGTTTCCCCCATTTTTTACCCTAAATTCTAAAACCATATGATTCAAGAATTTCTTTCCAATCCATTATCGACCTTAAAGAAAGAAATCATTTTGTAAATCGAAGTGTTGTTACATCTTTTATATGGTTACAGAGATAATTTAAAAAAATTTAAATTCAAAATCTTGTTGCAGATTGCATCTTTATAAAAATATTTTTTTCAAATTTAA